GAATTCTATCTATAATGATAATATATGGGGAACCAACAGGTCCAAAATTATATGATGTAATTAAATGGAAAGACCCTTTGCATAGACATTGCAGATATCCGAAGCAAAATCCCCTAGATCAAAATTAGAAAGGAATTTTATTCCAGCTTTACGTCTCGCGCAAACCTTACTTATACTTGCACGATCTGTACCAACATTCAAGGTGGCGTTCATGGGATTTGTCACGTCCACGGTATTCTTGAGAACGAGACTACACCCGACAGATGAAATATATGGGAACATGTACTTGTCTTGTCTCTTCTTTGGGCTGATGCACATGATGTTCAATGGTTTTTATGAGCTGCCTCTCATGATATATCGTCTCCCGGTGTTCTACAAGCAAAGAGACAATTCATTTCATCCTGCATGGGCATGGTCCCTTGCCAGTTGGATTTTACGTGTGCCTTATTCATTTATTGAAGCTGTTGTTTGGTCTGCTGTGGTATACTACACTGTGGGGCTTGCACCTTCCCCTGGCAGGTATTTCCTAGAATTACCCTCCTTCTTGTACTTTCGATAGAGATCTAGGAACTGTTTTGCTCGATTCTGTAGACCAAATCTCAATGCCTATGATTTTTGTTCTTTGGTTCTCGGTTTTAAACCATTATCTTGTTAAACAAACTTGTGTTTATGGCCACTAAGTTCACTTTGGCTCGTGTCCTTTACATATCTTTTCTTCAGATTTTTCCGGTATACGCTGGTACTCTTCTCGGTGCATCAAATGGCCGTGGGTCTCTTTCGTATGATGGCTTCTCTGGCGAGAGATATGGTCATTGGCAATTCACTCGTGTCTACAGCGATAATGATAGTGCTCGTACTTGGTGGATTTGTCATTCCAAGGGGTTTGTCATTCTCCGCATTTTCTTCGTTTGGGAGAATGTGAATTTGTTGATTCCATTTCCTTCTGAATGTCTATCACTCTACACACGCAGGTGACATTAAGCCCTGGTGGTCTTGGGGTTATTGGGTTTCGCCATTATCCTATGGCCAACGCGCCATTACTGTCAACGAATTCACTGCTACAAGGTGGATGAAGGTGCGCTCAATACTTCCTTTTATCGATCTCATGCAAAATGTATTCAAAAAAAATTGGGAGGTAGACTATGTTAACACAGATACTAATACTTGATCTTTGCACAGCAATCTAGTATATCGGATAATGCAATAGGATTCAACATTCTTCAATCACGTAGTTTTCCCACCAACGGCAACTGGTATTGGATTGGAGTCGGAGTACTCATTGGTTACTCATTGCTCTTCAACAACATAGTCACCCTCGCCCTCACATACCTCAATCGTAAGTGTTGGCGATTAGTTAGTGTAGAGAAGGAGAGCCTTTCAAGTTCCAATTTGTTCTGTGCTTCTGATATTAAAAAACTTTCACATTGGGGTCTTATTCATATTAGCTATTTAGGTTGATTCCTCTGTTTCTTTTTCTTTTGTCCCTGCAGCTATCAGAAGAGCTCAGGCAACGGTTCTAGAAGATGCCCATGAAGAGAAGCAGGCTGCTTCAGGATCAGTTCCAGCTACTGGTCAGGAAACTGTTGGAAACAAAGGAATGATTCTTCCATTTCAACCACTGACAATGACTTTCCACAATGTCAACTACTATGTTGATATGCCACAGGTTAAAACACTTCTCTCTCTCTTTCTTTTCCGTAGTCTCTTGATTTTGTGTATCCATATGGTTATGTGGAAAACGTGAAATCTCGTGTACATTTCAGGAAATGCGTTCGCAAGGCGTGCCAGAAACAAAATTAAAGCTCTTATCAAGTGTGAGCGGAGTGTTCTCACCAGGTGTCCTTACAGCTTTAGTTGGGCCAAGTGGGGCAGGCAAGACCACTTTGATGGACGTCCTCGCCGGTCGCAAAACGGGTGGATACGTCGAAGGAGATATCAAGATTTCGGGTTACCCTAAAGAACAACGGACGTTTGCGAGAATTTCCGGATATGTTGAGCAGAACGATATCCACTCTCCTCAAGTGACTGTTGAAGAGTCTCTCTGGTTTTCCGCCAGTCTTCGTCTTCCAAAGGAGATCAGTAAAGAACAAAAACGCGTAAGTAACCGATTGTCAAAAGGATACAGATTCAATGTAAAGCTTATGCATGCTATAATTCCCCTCCCTTGACAGCTATATTATCGTTACGTTGGTATTTTCCAGGAATTCGTTGAAGAAGTGATGAGATTGGTAGAGCTTGATACTCTGAGGGATGCCCTAGTCGGTTTACCAGGTGTAACTGGCCTGTCGACAGAACAAAGGAAACGTTTAACGATAGCGGTGGAGCTAGTGGCGAATCCGTCAATAATATTCATGGATGAACCGACGTCTGGACTTGATGCGAGGGCAGCTGCCATTGTGATGAGAACTGTCCGAAACACTGTTGACACTGGAAGAACAGTGGTTTGCACCATTCACCAACCCAGCATTGACATTTTCGAGGCATTTGATGAGGTCCAATAAAGTTCCATTAAGATTGCTAACGCAGATTACATATTCCAGACTCTGAACTAACAATTTTCCGCTGATCTTGAAAACAGCTGCTTCTAATGAAACGAGGTGGACAGGTTATATATGGAGGAAAACTAGGTGAACGCTCACAGATTCTGATAGACTACTTTCAGGTAAGATAATATCACTTTTACTTCCCTGGCCCTCCTTTTGCCTTCCTCTGCTTGGAGGAAAACACTGCCTACGATCATGAATTTTCCTACACTGCCCATGATCTTAACTAAGCTCTAGTGTTAGAACTTTTAAGCAATCACAAGTATGAGTTTCTGTTTCCTTTCAAAGGCTAAGTGGTTTGTCCTCCTCCTCCTCCACGACAGGGGATTAATGGAGTTCCTCCAATCTCAAGCGGATACAATCCAGCAACTTGGATGCTCGAAGTCTCAACAATTAACATGGAGGAGAAAATTGGGGTTGACTTTGCAGATTTATACAGGAAATCTGATCAATTCAGGTACTGGCAGATACTGTCTTTTAGTTCCACATTTTGTTTGCTCTCTTTTTTACATATGGGTCAGTCAGATCGCTCCACATTTGTGCGAGTAAGCTTCATCTACCGTAAATTCTCAACTAACTGTAATAAGTAGCATTGCACTTAAAATATGTGGTTATTGTGAAACAGGCAAGTGGAGGAAAACATCAAGCGTTTCACCGTTCCACCAGAAGGATCGGAGCCATTAATGTTCTCTACAACATACTCACAAAACCAGTTCTCTCAGTTTCTATTATGCCTATGGAAACAGAACCGCGTATACTGGAGGAGTCCTGAATACAACCTTGTGAGGTTAGTCTTCACCACGGCCGGTGCCTTGATACTTGGCACCGTCTTCTGGAATGTTGGCTCTCAAAGGTGAATAAAATTTCCCCTTTTGACATCAATTCTCTTGTCACAAGAAAGAAAGGTTGAAGCTTTTGTTTCACAACATCTTTCACATTGTATGAACATCTTCTTTTGTAGGAGCTCCTCACAGGGTTTGATCACTATAATGGGAGCCCTTTACTCGGCTTGCCTGTTTCTTGGAGTTAGCAATGCTTCATCGGTGCAACCCATCGTTTCGATAGAAAGAACCGTGTTCTACCGAGAAAAAGCAGCGGGAATGTACGCTCCAATTCCGTACGCGGCAGCTCAGGTGATTAAATCTCACCCCATAGTAGTAAACGTCATACACAATCATTCAAGAGAATGTAAACGGAATTCTGTGTGAAACCTTTTTGTGGACAGGGGCTGGTAGAAATACCATACATTATCACCCAGACGATTATATACGGAGTCATCACATACTTCACCATTGGATTTGAATCAACGGCCCGTAAGTTACCTACCAAACAATGTTCTTTTACTCGTTTTAGATACCCATATAAATTATATTGGCTTTGAGAGAGAAGCTGATATGTGAAAATATCTTTTTTTTTTGTTGTTGTTGAAATTTGAACAGAAAAGTTTTTGCTCTACTTGGTGTTCATGTTCCTGACTTTCACCTTCTTCACCTTCTTTGGAATGATGGTCGTTGGATTCACCCGAACTCTGCACTTGGCTGCTGTAATTTCTTCCGCCTTTTACTCTCTCTGTGAGCTCCTCTCTGGCTTTCTCGTCCCAAAACCCGTAAGTTCTCTTTCTGTGTTTTTATCAATTTTATCTTTATATATACTCACTCTTTTGAGGGCATAATGAATTCATATAAAAAAAACCTTTTTTTTGTTGGTTCTGACAGTTCATTCCGAAATGGTGGGTATGGTTCTACTACATAAACCCAGTGTCATGGACCCTGAGAGGAATCATTCTCTCACAGCTTGGAGACGTGGAAACGATCATCGACGAGCCAACCTTCCATGGGACCGTGAAGGAATACATTGAAAGAAATCTGGGATATGAAGACGGCACAATGGGTATCTCAGCCGTTGTTCTCCTCGCCTTCTGCGCCCTCTTCTTCTCTGCTTTTGCTCTCTCCGTCAAGTTCCTCAACTTCCAGCGAAGATAATAACAAAAACCGATGAGAGACAACAATATTTCCCAGGGATGAGCCCTTCACATTGGTCAGGGCGTCGGCTTTACACTCCAAAAAACCCTTTGTGCTGAGTTTTGTGGGACTCTATATATGTATGTTGAGTTGGTGAGATGTGTTTTCTTTCGCTTTAATGATCCCACAAATTTTCTATTTTATACATTTTCTTGAGATGTTTATCCATTGGTTGACCTCTCTATAAAAGAAATCGGCTTTTTAATTTCCATTGGGCAAAGTTGCCTATTGTTTATGACTTCTTTTCCCTTTCCACAATTGACGGATTCAACACACAAATCACACTTAAAAACGCGCGTGCTCTTCACGCACTCTATTCAGATGTTTATGTCCGAGGTTCTTTTCTTTTCGGCGGAGAGATATTTATTTTTCCCCGGCCCACAGAAACGAGAGGTAGAAAAGTATCTATCCACCGTCACTTTTCTTTGGGAGCTAGTGGCGAATCCGTCAATAATATTCATGGATGAACCGACATCTGGACTTGATGCTAGGGCAGCTGCCATTGTGATGAGAACTGTCCGAAACACTGTTGACACTGGAAGAACAGTGGTTTGCACCATTCACCAACCCAGCATTGACATTTTCGAGGCATTTGATGAGGTCCAATAAAGTTCCATTAAGATTGCTAACGCAGATTACATATTCCAGACTCTGAACTAACAACTTTCCGCTGTTCTTGAAAACAGCTGCTTCTAATGAAACGGGGTGGACAGGTTATATATGGAGGAAAACTAGGTGAACGCTCACAGATTCTGATAGACTACTTTCAGGTAAGATAATATCACTTTTACTTCCCTGGCCCTCCTTTTGCCTTCCTCTGCTTGGAGGAAAACACTGCCTACGATCATGAATTTTCCTACACTGCCCATGATCTTAACTAAGCTCTAGTGTTAGAACTTTTAAGCAATCACAAGTATGAGTTTCTGTTTCCTTTCAAAGGCTAAGTGGTTTGTCCTCCTCCTCCTCCACGACAGGGGATTAATGGAGTTCCTCCAATCTCAAGCGGATACAATCCAGCAACTTGGATGCTCGAAGTCTCAACAATTAACATGGAGGAGAAAATTGGGGTTGACTTTGCAGATTTATACAGGAAATCTGATCAATTCAGGTACTGGCAGATACTGTCTTTTAGTTCCACATTTTGTTTGCTCTCTTTTTTACATATGGGTCAGTCAGATCGCTCCACATTTGTGCGAGTAAGCTTCATCTACCGTAAATTCTCAACTAACTGTAATAAGTAGCATTGCACTTAAAATATGTGGTTATGTGTGGAACAGGCAAGTGGATGAAAACATCAAGCGTTTCACTGTTCCACCAGAAGGATCGGAGCCATTAATGTTCTCTACAACATACTCACAAAACCAGCTCTCTCAGTTTCTGTTATGCCTATGGAAACGGAACCTCGTATACTGGAGGAGTCCTGAATACAACCTTGTGAGGTTAGTCTTCACCACGGCCGGTGCCTTGATACTTGGCACCGTCTTCTGGAATGTCGGCTCTCAAAGGTGAATGAAACTTTCCTTTTGACATCAATTCTCTTGTACCTGTTAACTTTTTTCATAACATCTTTCATATGCATGAACCTTCTTTAGGAGCTCCTCACAGGGTTTGATGACTATAATGGGAGTCCTTTACTCGGCTTGCGCTTTTCTTGGAGTTAGCAATGCTTCGTCCGTACAGCCCATCGTTTCGATAGAAAGAACCGTGTTCTACCGAGAAAAAGCAGCGGGAATGTACGCTCCAATTCCGTACGCGGCAGCTCAGGTGATTAAATCTCACCCCATAGTAGTAAACGTCATACACAATCATTCAAGAGAATGTAAACGGAATTCTGTGTGAAACCTTTTTGTGGACAGGGGCTGGTAGAAATACCATACATTATCACCCAGACGATTATATACGGAGTCATCACATACTTCACCATTGGATTTGAATCAACGGCCCGTAAGTTACCTACCAAACAATGTTCTTTTACTCGTTTTAGATACCCATATAAATTATATTGGCTTTGAGAGAGAAGCTGATATGTGAAAATATCTTTTTTTTTTGTTGTTGTTGAAATTTGAACAGAAAAGTTTTTGCTCTACTTGGTGTTCATGTTCCTGACTTTCACCTTCTTCACCTTCTTTGGAATGATGGTCGTTGGATTCACCCGAACTCTGCACTTGGCTGCTGTAATTTCTTCCGCCTTTTACTCTCTCTGTGAGCTCCTCTCTGGCTTTCTCGTCCCAAAACCCGTAAGTTCTCTTTCTGTGTTTTTATCAATTTTATCTTTATATATACTCACTCTTTTGAGGGCATAATGAATTCATATAAAAAAAACCTTTTTTTTGTTGGTTCTGACAGTTCATTCCGAAATGGTGGGTATGGTTCTACTACATAAACCCAGTGTCATGGACCCTGAGAGGAATCATTCTCTCACAGCTTGGAGACGTGGAAACGATCATCGACGAGCCAACCTTCCATGGGACCGTGAAGGAATACATTGAAAGAAACCTGGGATATGAAGAAGGCACAATGGGTATCTCAGCCGTTGTTCTCCTCGCCTTCTGCGCCCTCTTCTTCTCTGCTTTTGCTCTCTCTGTCAAGTTCCTCAACTTCCAGCGAAGATAATAACGCAAAACCACTGCAATTACTGGACGATCATTAGAATTTGTACCACACAAGTAACTGCGATGACATCAACACCACCACTGCAATTACTGGACAATCATTAGAATTTGTACCACACAAATACGACTCCTTCGAAGATTCCCCACATCTTATTCGAATAAGTTTCCGACTCAACAGGACACACAAGATGACGACACGATCAAAACACCTACGCAGACGGATTTCATGCCAAAATTGATGCGCTTATTGTTATACAAAATGATTGACAGGTGATCGGATTTTACTCGGAATTGGCCCTTTCAAAGAGTGCTCAGGAGCCGCTAGAGCTCTGTCCACCGGTGGTGGAAGTCGTGGTATCACCGTTCTTCGCCGTCCTCCGGCGCTCGTGGACAATATTGGTGAAATTGACGGATAAATCGGAGTAAATCTCCAGAACCTTCGAAATATTCCCATTGATCTCGTTGATAAGGCCGACGTTGCTGGCCAGATTGTCAGCGATCCTGGAGCGATGGTTATCGTTCACGCGCTGGATCAAGTCGCGGTTCTGATCGAGAACGACCTGCGCGCGCTTGAAGCCACTGCTCAGCGTGTCCCACGCCTCCACGTCGTACTCCTCCTCCGCAATATCGCCGTCACCTCCTCCTCCTCCTCGGCAGCCGCGGCAATCTTCGGCCATCTCTTGAGCTCGTTGGCTCTTCCGGTTGCTTCTGAGGAGCGATCGACGTTTCGATGCTTCCATGGCGGAAAAATCAAGCCGTACGGCCGCCGGTATACATCAGAAACATCTAAGTTCATGCACAGTTCTCCAGAATCTTCACACAGGCGATTTTCCTCCTCTCCGTCTCTCTCTAGATTTTCTTTTCGGTCAGTAAATTCTTTGTTTGTGAATGGTATTGAATGTATATATATCGTGGCGAGAGGAGAGTGAATCGGGGCGAGTCGGGGCGGACTCACTCACATGGCGGTTACTCGGGTGCCGAAGCAGTCTGTGATGATCTTCCGTGAAGGACCAATGGATTTCGAGCGGGGATATGACGTGGACAGTTTCTATTGAGCTGTGACAAAGAAAAGTGACGGTGGATAGATACTTTTCTACCTCTCGTTTCTGTGGGCCGGGGAAAAATAAATATCTCTCCGCCGAAAAGAAAAGAACCTCGGACATAAACATCTGAATAGAGTGCGTGAAGAGCACGCGCGTTTTTAAGTGTGATTTGTGTGTTGAATCCGTCAATTGTGGAAAGGGAAAAGAAGTCATAAACAATAGGCAACTTTGCCCAATGGAAATTAAAAAGCCGATTTCTTTTATAGAGAGGTCAACCAATGGATAAACATCTCAAGAAAATGTATAAAATAGAAAATTTGTGGGATCATTAAAGCGAAAGAAAACACATCTCACCAACTCAACATACATATATAGAGTCCCACAAAACTCAGCACAAAGGGTTTTTTGGAGTGTAAAGCCGACGCCCTGACCAATGTGAAGGGCTCATCCCTGGGAAATATTGTTGTCTCTCATCGGTTTTTGTTATTATCTTCGCTGGAAGTTGAGGAACTTGACGGAGAGAGCAAAAGCAGAGAAGAAGAGGGCGCAGAAGGCGAGGAGAACAACGGCTGAGATACCCATTGTGCCGTCTTCATATCCCAGATTTCTTTCAATGTATTCCTTCACGGTCCCATGGAAGGTTGGCTCGTCGATGATTGTTTCCACGTCTCCGAGCTGTGAGAGAATGATTCCTCTCAGGGTCCATGACACTGGGTTTATGTAGTAGAACCATACCCACCATTTCGGAATGAACTGACAGAACGAAAAAAAAGAAGGATTTTTTATACATCATGCCCTCAAAAGAGTGTGTGTGTATATAAAGATAAAATTGATAAAAACGCGGAAAGTGCTTACGGGTTTTTGGATGAGAAATCCGGAGAGGAGGTTCCAGAGAGAGTAAAAGGCGGAGGAAATGACAGCGGCCAAGTGCTGAGATGGGGTGAATCCGACGGCCATCATTCCATAGAAGGTGAAGAAGGTGAAAGTCAGGAACATGAACACCAGGTAGAGGAAAAACTTTTCTGTTCAAAGTTCAAAAACAAAGGAAGATATATATATTCACATCATCAGCTTCTCTCTCAAAACCAATATTTTATAACGGCCATATGAAGGAGTAGGTACTTACGGGCCGTTGATTCAAATCCAATGGTGAAGTATGTGATGACTCCGTATATAATCGTCTGGGTGATAATGTATGGTATTTCCACCAGCCCCTGTCCAAAAAGTTTTACACAGAACTCCGATTACTTTCTCTTGATTGGTTGTGTATTTGGCGTTAACAACTATGGGATGAGATTTAATCACCTGCGCTGCTGCGTAGGGAATTGGAGCGTACATTCCCTCGGTAGAACACGGTTCTTTCTATCGAAACGATGGGTTGCACCGATGAAGCATTGCTAACTCCAAGAAACAGGCAAGCCGAGTAAAGGGCTCCCATTATAGTGATCAAACCCTGTGAGGAGCTCCTACAAAAGAAGATGTTCATACAATGTGAAAGATGTTGTGAAACAAAAGCTTCAACCTTTCTTTCTTGTGACAAGAGAATTGATGTCAAAAGGGGAAATTTTATTCACCTTTGAGAGCCAACATTCCAGAAGACGGTGCCAAGTATCAAGGCAGCGACCGTGGTGAAGACCAACCTCACAAGGTTGTATTCAGGACTCCTCCAGTATACGCGGTTCTGTTTCCATAGGCATAATAGAAACTGAGAGAACTGGTTTTGTGAGTATGTTGTAGAGAACATTAATGGCTCCGATCCTTCTGGTGGAACGGTGAAACGCTTGATGTTTTCCTCCACTTGCCTGTTTCACAATAACCACATATTTTAAGTGCAATGCTACTTATTACTGTCAGTTGAGAAATTGCGGTAGATGAAGCTTATTCACACAAATGTGGAGCGATCTGACTGACCCATATGTAAAAAAGAGAGCAAACAAAATGTGGAACTAAAAGACAGTATCTGCCAGTACCTGAATTGATCAGATTTCCTGTATAAATCTGCAAAGTCAACCCCAATTTTCTCCTCCATGTTAATTGTTGAGACTTCGAGCATCCAAGTTGCTGGATTGTATCCGCTTGAGATTGGAGGAACTCCATTAATCCCCTGTCGTGGAGGAGGAGGAGGACAAACCACTTAGCCTTTGAAAGGAAACAGAAACTCATACTTGTGATTGCTTAAAAGTTCTAACACTAGAGCTTAGTTAAGATCATGGGCAGTGTAGGAAAATTCATGATCGTAGGCAGTGTTTTCCTCCAAGCAGAGGAAGGCGAAAGGAGGGCCAGGGAAGTAAAAGTGATATTATCTTACCTGAAAGTAGTCTATCAGAATCTGTGAGCGTTCACCTAGTTTTCCTCCATATATAACCTGTCCACCTCGTTTCATTAGAAGCAGCTGTTTTCAAGATCAGCGGAAAATTGTTAGTTCAGAGTCTGGAATATGTAATCTGCGTTAGCAATCTTAATGGAACTTTATTGGACCTCATCAAATGCCTCGAAAATGTCAATGCTGGGTTGGTGAATGGTGCAAACCACTGTTCTTCCAGTGTCAACAGTGTTTCGGACAGTTCTCATCACAATGGCAGCTGCCCTCGCATCAAGTCCAGACGTCGGTTCATCCATGAATATTATTGACGGATTCGCCACTAGCTCCACCGCTATCGTTAAACGTTTCCTTTGTTCTGTCGACAGGCCAGTTACACCTGGTAAACCGACTAGGGCATCCCTCAGAGTATCAAGCTCTACCAATCTCATCACTTCTTCAACGAATTCCTGGAAAATACCAACGTAACGATAATATAGCTCTCAAGGGAGGGGAATTATAGCATGCATAAGCTTTACATTGAATCTGTATCCTTTTGACAATCGGTTACTTACGCGTTTTTGTTCTTTACTGATCTCCTTTGGAAGACGAAGACTGGCGGAAAACCAGAGAGACTCTTCAACAGTCACTTGAGGAGAGTGGATATCGTTCTGCTCAACATATCCGGAAATTCTCGCAAACGTCCGTTGTTCTTTAGGGTAACCCGAAATCTTGATATCTCCTTCGACGTATCCACCCGTTTTGCGACCGGCGAGGACGTCCATCAAAGTGGTCTTGCCTGCCCCACTTGGCCCAACTAAAGCTGTAAGGACACCTGGTGAGAACACTCCGCTCACACTTGATAAGAGCTTTAATTTTGTTTCTGGCACGCCTTGCGAACGCATTTCCTGAAATGTACACGAGATTTCACGTTTTCCACATAACCATATGGATACACAAAATCAAGAGACTACAGAAAAGAAAGAGAGAGAGAAGTGTTTTAACCTGTGGCATATCAACATAGTAGTTGACATTGTGGAAAGTCATTGTCAGTGGTTGAAATGGAAGAATCATTCCTTTGTTTCCAACAGTTTCCTGACCAGTAGTTGGAACTGATCCTGAAGCAGCCTGCTTCTCTTCATGGGCATCTTCTAGAACCGTTGTCTGAGCTCTTCTGATAGCTGCAGGGACAAAAGAAAAAGAAACAGAGGAATCAACCTAAATAGCTAATATGAATAAGACCCCCCCAATGTGAAAGTTTTTTAATATCAGAAGCACAGAACAAATTGGAACTTGAAAGGCTCTTTTTCCTTTGTCCAGAATCTAGCATTATACCGACATGTTGTGGGTGCTTGGTTCCATACGATGTAACTAATTTTGTCAACACTCACGATTTAAATATGCGAGGGCGACAGTGACCATGTTGTTGAAGAGCAATGCATAAGCAATGAGTACTCCGAGTCCAATCCAATACCAGTTGCCGTTGGTGGGAAAACTACGTGATTGAAGAATGTTGAATCCTACAGCAGTATCCGATATACTAGATTGCTGTGCAAAGATCAAATATTAGTATGTGTAAATATAGTCTACCTCCCTATTTTGGTGAATAGGATAAAAGGAAGTATTGAGCGCACCTTCATCCACCTTGTAGCGGTGAATTCGTTGACAGTAATGGCATTTTGGCCGTAGGATAATGGTGAAATCCAATAACCCCAAGACCACCAGGGCTTAATGTCACCTGTGCGAAGTAGAGTGGTAGACATTCAGAAAGAAACGGAATCAACAAATTACTTGTACACAACATAAATGTGGAAAAATTCACATTCTCCCTAAAGAAGTAATTGCGGACAATGACAAACCTTTGGGAATGACAAATCCACCAAGCAGAAACACTATCATTATCGCCGCTGACCCGAATGTATTGGCAATGACCATATCTCTCGCCAGAGCAGCCATCATACGAAAGAGACCCAGGGCCATTTGATGCACCGAGAAGAGTAGTAGCATGTATCGGAAAAACCTAAAGAAAAGACATGTAATGAACACGAGCCAAAGCGGTCATAAACACGTCTTTTTAAACAAGATAACGTTTAAAACCGAAAACAAAAATAAAAAATCATAGGCATTGAGATTTTGGTGTACAGAATCGATCAAAACATTTTCTAAATCTTTATCGAAAGTACAAGAAAAGAGGGTAATTGTAGGAAATACCTGCCGGGGGAGGGTGCAAGCCCCACACTGTAGTATACCACAGCAGACCAAACAACAGCTTCAAGAACTGAATAAGGCACGCGCAAAATCCAACTGGCAAGGGACCATGCCCATGCAGGATGAAATGAATTGTCTCTTTGCTTGTAGAACACCGGGAGACGAGATATCATGAGAGGCAGTTCAGAAAAACCGTTGAACATCATGTGCACCAGCCCAAAGAAGAGACACGACAAGTACATGTTCCCATATATTTCATCTGTCGGGTGAAGTCTCGTTCTCAAGAATACCGTGGATGCGACGAATCCCACGAATGCAACCTTAAACATTGGTACAGATCATGTAAGTATAAATAAGGTTTGCAAGAGACATAAAGCTGGAAAAAAATAAAATCCCTCTTCGTCTAATCTAAAAGATCTATGCAAAGGGTCTTCCCACTTTTGGTTCCCCGTATTTAAGCAGTCCTTTACGCCCATATATTACATATAGAATCCTAGACCTAAGGGACAGACTCCGTAGAGATGACAACTACAAATTTCACCATTCAGGTTATTAGAAGAGAACTTTTTAATGAAGATCAAAATTCAGAGTTTAAGTAGGATATACCTGGCATGTCCTAAAAATGTAGAGAAACTTGTGCCTGCTGATCAACAATACTTCTCGTTCAAAGCAAGCTTTAAAGTTATCCCATTTTGATACAGCAAACTTTGTCCTGCATAAAGCTGAGGGATGGGCCGATGCTTTTTCAAATGGAGTGGCCATGTTGGATTCTATAGCTTTCCAATATTTAGAGTTTCGAAATGCATCGGCAATTTCTGAAACAGGAATGAATTGATACGGTTTCGATGAGTCTGCCCAGTACTGAGCTTGATCCTTTCTGGAAGTCACCTGGAAACAATAAGGGTGAGGGCCAATGCTTCGAAGATAAGCGGAGGATAGTAGAAGCATTAAAAAAATATATACCTCTTGGAGGAAATCAGCTACACCTTTCCGTGGGGGCAGACGGAATCCTAGAGACTCAAAGAAGTCCACCACGTCTTCTCGAGGACCTTGATACACCATGTAGCCTTCTGACAGAAGAATTAAATCGTCAAATAGATCAAATGTCTCTGGCGCAGGTTGAAGAAGAGCCATGAGCACAGTTGCATCCATTAGATGGACGAAATTTCTGATACATTTTACGATCTGGTAAGTTGTGGAGCTATCGAGACCAGTAGAGATTTCGTCCATGAACAAAGTTTTTCTTGGCCCGACAATCATTTCCCCTGCATAAAAGTTAAGCAGTTTATGTTAGCAGAATCCTCATAAGGGTCACGTTGCAAGTTTTCATTACAACTTCATAATGTTAGCCGAAGCTTAAGAGTCAAAGGTCGTGGATCCATAATTTATAGAAGAACAAGCAATGGGAATTCCAACCGTCGAAAAATTTAAATGGCTTATACAGACGAGGGTCAGATAAGATAAGAAAAAGACAGAAAGACACCTGTTGTTACTCTTTTCCTTTGGCCTCCTGAAACACCTCTCATCATATCATTTCCAACTATAGTGTCAGAACATAGATCTAGACCAAGCACTTTCAGAATATAATCTGTGGAAACGCTGTGCGTTTTACCACCAACAGATGCAGCCTGCGTAGCAGAAGTGCCCACTTAGTGAAATCAATGATGGAAGAGAACATGCAAATAGGAAGTAGAAAAAGATTTTTAAAATTTTAATGCTAACCTTCATGAAAGCATCGATTTCTTGGGAGGGACGTATATCTCTCTCTCTTTCTAAACGGGTGACATCTTTCATGTAACCTACAAGCACAAAGCAAATGTTTAGGCCGTAGAGTGAATATATATATGACGAAGTTAGCCCTAGCGTGAAGGTGTAAGTAATAACTAACGATGGGAACTTATAATCTCAAAAGAAGAAAAAAAAACCTGCAAATCCTTCACTTGCGCCTTGACATCTTGCGGCAAAATCTAGTGTTTCACGGACAGTGAGTTCGGCAATGTGATTATCTGTTTGACTAATGTATGCGGATGTCCTTTTAACATGGAAGTCCTCAAGCTTCTCTCCATTGTAGGTTATGGTACCTGTTTTCTGTAGTTTAACATACAATATTCACATCAAGAACCCGAAACGGACAGGTGGAGGTCAACTGTCACACTTTAATAACCATGAGAGACGTGTGGTGATCAAACCAAAAGAGACGCTTGACCAGAAGATGCATGTGACATGATAGATACAACTGCACAGATTACTAACCTTGAGGCTTTTATCTAGTTTCCCAGCAAGAGCCAAAAGCAGTGTGGATTTTCCAGAGCCCGGAGGTCCCAAAAGCAAAGTCATCCTTCACCAAAGTGATGCGAGTCAGTTTTCCGATAAAGATTTGTAACAACATCAACATCGCCTTAATCCCAAGTATAAAGATTTGTAGGTTTCCAAAAAGAAGACCTAACCATAAGTGCGTATGCAAATCAAATATACATTTTTTTCAGAATCACAATTTTTCCAGCCTGGAAACTGAATGGTATGTTACAGTTTGTTCATCCAGTCTCCCTTTATGCAACTTATAGCATCACATATAACTATAAGATACTGAACTTAAGAACATTGAGTAGATCATTAGGCTCATGTGAAGTTTTAGTTTCCTATCTAGATTGTCTTACCTTCCGGGTTTAACTACCCCACTGATATTCTTCAAAATTTTTAGCTCGTGTTTCTTAGGTCGGAAAATTCCCAAACCGGTGAGCTGATGCTGCAGTAGGAACGTACAGAATTAGATGTTAGAAGCAATCCAAACACCGTTAAAAGCTAAAAGACAGCGTAAAAAAGAAGAAGAAGGGTTCTTAGAAGAGCCGGAAAAGAACTCATACCTCAACAAAATCACGAGCTACGTTAACCAAAGTTGGTAAAGCTCTTGCACCAATTTGAACATCGGTTTCTATGTTCAAGTTTTCGAATCGGACTTCAATTTTAGGAACCTCCAATCCAACTCTGGAATAACACCAAGACAAAAAGGAAAAATATGTTTATCTCTGTGCCTGATTCATCTACCAAACGGAATCCGAGATTAATCATAGCACCATCGATGGATATGTTTCCCCAAACATAAAGAAACCCATCGTGTAACACCAAAGTAAATCGAAGAGAGAGATACCTATCGAGCCGCTCCTTAATGGCTGAGAGGAGCTTGTAGTTGTCCTGATCACTGGTAGCCAGAGCTTGCCGGACAACCTGCTCCCTATCCGACCGGTCGAGTTTTCTGACGTCGATTGTCTGAACTTTGTTCCCGCCGGCGTAACCTGCCCGCGTCCGCGTCAGAGACCGTCGCAGCACCGCGAAATTCCCTTGTTTCTGCGATGGCAAACGCGCAATCGCCGCCCAGATCAGATCTTCCTCGTCCTGCTCCACCAATTCCGCGTTCGACGACCGTGCGAACGATTCCCTCGCCGCCTCGAAGTCGAACTCGAAATACTCACTCCCGTTCGAAGCCACCGCCATTATCCTCCCTCTTCGCCTTCTGGATCTAGAAGCAGTGTCGTCTCCCTCGTATGAGATTTTTCTCCCCACCAATGCGAACTCAGAGCACAATGTTAGAATTGAGAAACTCTTCTCCCTTATATATACCTCAACAGAGGCATAGACACCAATTCGTAGTGCATGATCCCCGGGGTATGAACTTTGTTCCTGCCGCCGTAACCTGCCTGCGTCCGCGTCAGAGACCGTCGCAGCACCGCGAAATTCCCTTGTTTCTGCGACGGCAAACGCGCAATTGCCGCCCAGATCAGATCTTCCTCGTCCTGCTCCACCAATTCCGCGTTCGACGACCGTGCGAACGATTCCCTCGCCGCCTCGAAGTCGAACTCGAAATACTCACTCCCGTTCGAAGCCACCGCCATTATCCTCCCTCTTCGCCTTCTGGATCTAGAAGCAGTGTCGTCTCCCTCGTATGAGATTTTTCTCCCCACCAATGCGAACTCAGAGCACAATGTTAGAATTGAGAAACTCTTCTCCCTTATATATACCTCAACAGAGGCATAGACACCAATTCGTAGTGCATGATCCCCGGGAATTTTGAAGCTTCATAAATGACGATATTGCCCTCGATTAATGGCTATATTAGCGTAGAAACCGATGGTAATAATGACATTTTCCAATCTGTTTACCCAGGCAGGCAAGTCCGCGTTTGATTTGTTTGGCCTGTTCTCGCTCTGGCTTGCCACGTGTCAACCCCGGATTGGATTTCTTCTAGACGTATTTCATCAATTGGATTCCATTTTTGTCTTTTCTAAATTCTCCACAACATTCATTAACATCGCGAACTACAATTATATCAACTAAAAACAAACATCCCATGATATTTGTTTTCTTCTAGAAGTATTAATTCCCTTTATTATGATGTTTTTTTTTTATCTCTCAGGAAAATTTTTCTAGAAGTAATTATTATTTAATTATTTTTTTGTACGTATTAATTCCCTTTATTGATATATGAATGCTGTGAAATTTCATTAATAAAATTCTTCTAGAAGTATTTATTTCACTTGGATTCCATTTTTGTCTATTCTAATTCCTCCCCATATTGCAGGTGGTGAATTACGATTTTTTTTTCGTATGTTTTAATTATTATTGGAGTAATATATGAATGCGATGAAATTTCATTGATTTAAAAAAAAAATGAAGAGCTGGACTTCTTCTCCTATACGCATTTTTTTGGTGCCACATAAAGATTTCCGTGGGGTGTCTTGCTTTCTTTTCTCCACTTTTCATGCAGTATATCATATAAACAGAAATAGTTATATAGTTGTTCTCTCCATTATTAGGAAAGTTATGTCAAAATCTTCTTAATTATTGCTGTTTTATGGGAATTTATAGGAAACACATAACAATCAAAATAAAATAATGTCAATAATCTTCTTAATTATTGTTGCTTTGTGGGGGTTTATATAGGAAATACATAATCTACAAACAATCAAAATCTCATAATAAAATTTTTATATTTTTAACGTTGGTAAATGTTAAAAGATATACGCCTTATATTTCTTTTAACTTTAGTAAATAAATAGATAGATTTTGGTCAATTGTTATCTATTATATTTTTTACTTTTTTTAAATAAACATCTTTATAGAATTGTAATTCTGTAAAATAGTATATCAAAATGAGTTTGCCACGCAAACCATATCATATTTTTTTGAACTGAATTTAAAAAATTTGAGTCCAGAGAAAAAATAGACTAAACGAATTGCTTAATCATGCAATCGCGAATCAAGAAAATATGTTTTTTTTAAAAAATTTTTTAAAATTTTCCAATATTTTTAAATTTAAATTTATTTTTAATAGGTTTTTGATTTGTTTTGTTTAAATTTTAAATTTTAAATTTTTTTATTGTTTTATAATATTTTTAATATTTTTTAGTATTTAATTTTTATTTTTTATTTAGTTATTTTGGTTCACGAAACAACTTGTTTGGTTCGTGATCTAAAGTTGGTCTGATCAAATAATTTTTTATTTTTCAAAACGGATCGGATTGGATTGGACTAGACTAAAAAAATATGAGATTAAGATGGATTGCGTTGGGACGGAACGGACCAATTCATTTTACACTGTAAAGATATATCTTACAAGTTTATAAAATAAAAAATATAACAGATAGAAAATTGACCAAAATCTATCTATTTATTTATTAAAAGTTATTTACTAAAATTAAAAGAAATTTAAGGAACGAAGATTTTATGAAAATCGTAAAATTTACTGACATTCAAAATAGAAAAGAGTAACAGCATGTCTTTCTCTTAGTTTAGATTATACTACACAAAAATTATAATTATAAACTCTAAATAATGTCTCTTGTTCATTAGATTAGCGTCCCCTATACGTCTACATTAATTTTGGTTAGAAAAGTATGCTATATTATAAAAATGCTAAAAAAAATGCAAGATTTAAAGTTTTGGAACGATTTAAATATTTTTATAACAGTTGCAAAGATAAAATTAGAGAATTGAATTACTTAAATAAACTAATTATAAAAGTAATTAGTTCGAGTATTAATGAAATTAGTAGATTGTGCCATTTGTAAAATAGTAAAGAAACCATTTGTAGACTCTCATTTGTTAATATGTGTGTACACGTACACCGTACTTGTAGGATATCATGTAGTTACTGTAAGTTTGATCATATAACATATATATATATATATAAGTACAATGTTTTTGCTCCGCATTTTATCAGACAAGCACATCTATTACGTCTATAAATATTATATAGTAGTGTAGTGGAACATCTTGTAATGAGTTTCCAACACATATATTTACATACATACATAAATACATACATATATATATATATTCACATGATCAATGCAAGAAGAGAGAATCAGAAGCTGCTGGTGAACCTTGGACCCGTTTGAGTGGTGAGGGAAGGTCGCATGGTAACAATGGCATTCTCATCAGCTCCAGCTTGGAGAGCGGCCTTCCCAGCTTCTAGGAACTTGTGAACTGCTTCCTCGGCGTATCTGTTGGCCTGTGCTACTGTCATGTTCTTCCCTATGTCTGGATAAGAGTTCAGGAGATGGTCTCCCACTAGTTGGGAGGCGAGTTGGATAAGTTCCATCTGGAACTCTGATAGCTTTGATTCTTCCTTTGGTCCCCATGGCCTCAATGATCCTTTCACCTCTGGCAATTTCTCTATATCAAACAAGTGGAAAAATACATCAGAAAATTCCACTTATCACCAAGTGAATCATCATCGACAATGTAGAATCGTCAATATAGATTAAAACCATGAAGTGCCCACAAATTAAACCATACATGATCAAACACTAGGATAGGAATCTCAGTGGCAAGACGAGAGAAGGCTCTATCTACAAATATGCAAGCTTTATGCTCCAAGCTATTCAACAGAAGCAGACACTCTCTCACTCTTCTCCCTTCCTAAGAGATGCAGACACTCACAGCCAAATGTGTACGTGAAAGTAAAAACCAGACGGAATGGTATATAGCGCGAAAAGGGTCCACTTCATCTTAGATCCACAATGCAGATCCCCATTCAAGTTCATGGTCTGCCGTTTTTCCGTTTCTTTAAAGGAATTTTAAAACGGTATACTGGTTTATCTGAGAACTCAGGACAGGTTGTGAGAGAGCCAAAAACCTTTCCACAGGCAACACAGATTCAGTTTTGCTTCTAGGAACCATGCCCATTACTTATACACATTTATGACAGAATCTAGTTTGAATTGAGAGTGTAATATGGTTTCATTAGAATCCATATATATATGAAACTGCAAAGTCGGGGTAGATGAACAAGCAAACCTGGACAATCTTCGCGGGGAGAGTGGCGTAAATAAAAGTACTTCTCAAAGGTTCCAGCCCACGCATCTCTCTTGGTCAGGAAGTTAGACTTTAGGTTGAAGAGCTTCTTCACGGTGGCCGGAATAGAAGAATGTTCAAACTGTGAATACGGTGTAGGGCCATCCGGCTCATGGATCACTACAAGAAATGAATCCCACATAAGAGAGTTCGATTATGCTTAAATCGCTAGGCTAGGAAGATAAGCTGCGATTTTTATCCCGAAAAAGGGGAATCAAATTCACATATAGCTCTCAAATACCAAGCTGAATCTATGTTTTTCTACAACTACGATCAACAACACTCGAGATGAGACCAAGAGGACCAAGGAAACGTGCAGGTTTTTAGAATTGATTCGAGTTTACTCATAGTTCGAGCCACTTACCAGTGCCCTTCTCGATCCATGGCGAGATGAGGAGAGTGGGGACACGAACGCCCAACCGGTCAAACCCGAAGTAAAACGGGTCGGGTCCGACGATCCCGTCAGGGTTCGGGACACCCTTGACCGGCGTCGGAACGTGGTCGTAGAATCCGCCGTGTTCGTCGTAAGTGATGAGCAGAGCCATCTCCTTCCACTGAGGGCTACTCCGGAGCGTGTCGTAGATTTCCTTCACGAACCGTTGACCAGCCGCCACGTCGTGCGACGGGTGGTCGTCGTTCGCCGGAAAAAGGTTGACGTCGAAGTACCTCTGCTCCACGACGGAGTAGTTGGGAAGCTTCCCAAGCTTCGCATGGAGCTTGAACTTGAGAGCGTAGCTGTGGAATTTGACCAAGTGTTTTAGCCGACGGAGAGATTTGAAGAAGAGAGTGGCAGGGATATTTTGGTAATAAATCCCAAAACTGAGCCCGTTTTCCTCCAGTGAGTCGAAGATCGTCTTCTGCGGAAACCCTAGAACCAGATCCTTCTTCACGTTGCTTGAGCATCCATGGGAGGTCGCCGAGTGGACGTAGAACCGATTTGGCTGAGTCGACGTGGGGACCGACGCGAACCACCGGTCGAACACGGCGAACTCGTTCGCCAACTCGGTGTAAATCGGTAATACCTCGGGTTTGAACCCGCCCATGACGTTCTTCGCCATGCCAGAACCCATGCTCTCTGCTTGCTGGGCAAACCCGTTCATCTTCGGGTCGCCGGAGGTATCATTCGATCCGAATATCTGTTCCCGGATCGCCTGGAACGAGTGGCCAGGATCCATGTCGACGAACACCGCATCGTTGGAGACGAAGATTTCCGGAGAGTTCGGGTCGGAGACGTTGAGCGGGTTGGACTCTTTGCCCGTCAACCCGTCGATTTCTGGTCGGGTCGACTTGAGCCAGCCGAGTATGTGATCGAAGGAGCGATTCTCCATAACTACGACGACTATGGTCTTAATTGGTCCTTCGATCCTATGGCGTTTCCGTAGATTATCGAAATCGAGAGACTGAGACGAAACCAGGAGGTGCAGGAACAGGAAAAAGGTGACAGATAGCCGCCGGAGAGCCATTTTCCGGTGACCGGAGAACGGTAGGCGGCCGGTGGCGGGCGGAAAAGGATTAAAGTTGAGTGATTAGAGAGTCACAGGGAGAGAACAGAGGATTTTAAAAAGGAAAAGATGATAGAAGGAGGCGAAAACTGAAAAGGCATATGCTCGGAGAATATAACAACGGAGAAGAAACCATGCGAAGAAGAGAGAGTGACAGAAACCCTCTAGGTTTGACTTTTCTCTATTCAAATGCTGACTTTGGAGAGGAGAGAAATCAGAGTTTTGAACTTTGAGCTATTAAAGAAATAATTAGGGCCTAATCTAATTGCGTTAATCACTAATTTAATGGGTAAGTTCACCAAATTAATTAAAATACGTCAGCTTGGTTAAGTAATAATAATGATAATCATGTTTTGTTTAGGCTGTATAAATATTTACCAAAAACAATCAAGGGAGGTCCGGCGATGCTATCAATGGCAATGGAGCAATACTTTGCTTGAAAGGCAAAAGGGAACGATTATGAATCCCAAACCTGCCACGTGGCAGTTCTTGGAGACAACCATATGTATGGACCAATATTAAAGCCAAGGCCCAGATGGATTTGGTTGGGCTGTGACGTGTTCCAATATCAACAAACGCTTTTGCTGTCCATCTCATTTGGTCTTTAATCTACATCATTCACACGCAACATGTCCGAATTGTCCATTGTCATTTGTCACAACACACTCTACAGTCTACGTATCTATCGTACAGATATTTGTTTTGGGTAGTGACCGAGTTTCCATCATCATTAGAATTTAGACATCGCATATATATACACACACATATGTATGGTGAGAGGAGATTACCGGAAGGAAGAAATCTGGTATGGCAGCCTTAGAAGAGATGGAGAGACATCTTGAGCTTGTTTTGTTTCCACTTCGGAAGCGTGTAGAATTCAGCTTTTGTCATTTTGAATCTCTCTTCAAACTCTTCCTTTGACAAGTATGCCTGAGAGATAATCCAACCAGAATTTCAAGCTTTTTATCTCTTCTGGCACATGTTCAGGTTCTTTTAGGACATCTTCCCTCGAAACTACAATTAACTGATCACAACCAAACCATGCAAAGTGATCATAAGGCATTGAGTATGAATGAATTATAGAAATACCTCTCTTCTTGCGACATCTATGCCCGTCACTGGTTCTTGAGAATCAACTCTAAGCCTCTGATATGAATATGTAAGAGAATCTAGACCAGCATCGACTTCAGCGAGCAGGTTCTCTTTAGAAGTTTCTACATCAGGGCTTGGCTCTGATTGAGATCCTGCATCAGATATAGTCAGCTTGAAACGAGGGTTTTGAGCACCAAGAAGCAGGATACAGTCTAGAGCACAAAGATAAAGCATTTTATCCGCCATTACATTCTTCTGTAGGAGTTCGGTATATCTAGGACAGGGTAGTTTTGTCAAATTATGATGTTAGACGATGTTAGACGCTAGACCCACATATTCGAGCTTTTCCATTGTATTCGTCAGTGTGTGTGGTTGTTTATGGGCCTTTATGCCTTGATTAATTTTCCTGTCAGTTCACGACAAAGAACAACAATGAAAAGATGAAGAGATGAACATACCCTCAATAGCATCCATTGGGTAAGCCCCTAGGGACAGCTTTCTGGCAATTGGTGGTTGGCTGCTGGCGCTTTGGTCATCTGCAGATCTCAAGCTTGAAAGATTTTGGTTGGCTCCTGGTGATACTCCGGTTGAGGGCACAGATCGGCTTCTTGAACCATTTGATGTGTTCTCCCTTGAATAGGATCTCCAATGGCTTCCTCCAGATGTCTGAAACGGGGAATGTTTGAACTATTTAAACACTAATTAGTGCAAGACATTTCCATATTTGGTTGATGTGAGGTCATAATCCACTCAACTCACGCTCTACTCTAGTCCAAACTGGTCACCATATCAGCAAGAAGGGCCTCTACTATGGGGTTTCAAAACAGATACAAATACATAAGAACCCGACTCATACAAGGTCTTTGCAAACCCTTACAAATTCATAGGAAAATTCACCTTAGAAGCTAACTTGCAAGAAACGTATGCCCATAGGCTTTTAAATCACCATCATAGCTCTCTCAATTATCACAATTCTTTGGACTACGACTTACCTCAGTGCTTGTCTTCTTGCCTTTCAGACTAGCAAGCTTCCGTTCAAATGAGTTTCCATGCATCTACAGAATCCCATGCATGTTATGCGTGAAAGCACACATTAAAGACCATATCATTTCAGTAGACTGTTTAGAAAGAAACATGTGAAAGTCTCTGTTTCGATTGGTTGGATAGCAATTTGATTCAAAACAACTTTGAGATGGAACAAGAAGCCTTACATTTGCCTTCGTGGAATCCCACTCAAAGAACCGGGTGAAAAATGGTGGCTCATGTCCTTCTGTGACAACGCATATAGGAGTATCCTTTGACAAGCCTTCTTCTAGAATATCCATCTCGAGGAATTTCTGCAAGCTCTCAAACAAAACGAACTAAGAACATTGGAAGAGGAAGGGAACTTATGGTTTGATGACGTAGCAGTCATGACGCAAACAATGAACCCGAGAAAAAGAAACCGCTAAAGGTGATACTGAGCATTCAAACAGAATAAGTTAAACTTAGCCACGCATGTCCAGAAGTGCCACTGAAACTGTAGCCTATGGCAGCACAAATAGAGATGAAGAAAATTTACCAGACCGAGAGTCAGAGCTTGTTGCTTTGAGTTGACCTTTGAGTTAAGCCCAATCCAAACATATACTTCGCTTTGGCAATCTAGCAATAGTACATCTTCGGTAGTCAAATCATCTTGCACAAAGTTGTATATCTCTTTAACCTGAAATAAGGCAGACAAATGGTGTAAGATAGTCTTCTGGTTGATGTGAAATCTCTACTGAAGACAGCTTACACATGAGTTATACCTTGATGTCATCTGAACAGAAGGACCATACCAGCCAGCAACCACTCTTTCGTTAGATGTAATACAAATGATATTGTGAGACAGCAAAAGCAAATGAAAGAATATCTTGCCTACCTGAACTGCAGGAGCATGTAAACAAATGTGGTTCCTCAACTTGTCTTCTAGTTTCTTTTTCTTTTGGGTATTCCGCCTTCCCTCCAAGCAAATCCCAGAATGTGTCTGGTTCACTCCCTTCCCTCACAGAAATGGGTTGCCAAGATGGCTGCAAATGCAAAAAAGAAACTGATCTTGAAATAATGGTGATAAAAGTGGCGAGAAAATAAACTGAGAACCTGAACATTTCATGAACTCCAGTAGGTAGAAGCTTAGAGGTAAGATTACACACATCAATAAAATAAAGCATTCTATCAAGAAGATCATGGTCAGAGGCTGAAGAAAGACTCCCAATCCAAGTGAAGATAGAGGCTCCATTTGTCAAAATGTAACAGTAGGATGAATTCAAAGAGGTTGAGGCCTGCAGTTGACAGCCTTAGTTTAATTAATCACCATACAATGCCAAAGAGACAAATTCAAATGCCAAAATTCAATTGGAAATATCACATGCATTACACAATGTGAAAGAACTCACTGAATCAACTTGGATAGCTTGCATATTTTTTGGGCTCGTCCCTTGAACACGAAAAAGAGAAGCCTTGTTCTCGGTAGATAGTTCATCTTTGTTTTCCTTCTCTTCCAGAAACATCATGTACCGTTTACTCATACCCCCCTGGAAAAAGGAAACAAGACATACACATTTGATGAATTTTTAGGCTCATGAATCTCAAGTTTACCATAACGTATCCATCTTAATGTTCAAGAAGTACAGCTAATAGACCTTAAACACAACCAAGGACTGAAACATTGGGAAAAAGCGAGGAGGTTCGTTGCCCTGATATATTTGTGCCTGAATGAGAAAATGTCAATAGTACTAGGTCAGTCGGTTGAAAGCGAAAAAGCCAGAATCAATAAAATACTTTTTCAGAATTGGGAAGATGTAATATCTTAGTGAAGTAAGGGACATAATGTCATCGATAAATAAGACTTGACAATCTGAGCCAGAACTACTAACCATCACCGGTTCCCCCTTGGTTGAAGCAACAACAGCACTTAGATGAGATATAGCATCTACTCTATCTTGCTGCAATGAAGTGAAAAAAAAAAACATAGAAGATTAAAACAACACACAAATGTGCTTCATAACTGAACAATTAATAAATGATCAATGTTAAAAAATGCAATTTAATATAATCAACACGAAAAGAACTACAAACCACTGACCTGCATACTTTCACAACCTATCCAAACATAAAATAGGTGTTCATCTCTTCCACTAAAAGGATATGTATACTGCACAATGTAGCAGTCACCACTGAAAAACTTTGTTTGGTCAGGAATGGGGAGAAGAGAGAGCTCATCACCATCTCTACGCCAAACCTGGAAGATTTTAGGAATCTGGTTGATCAAACTAAGTTTGTAGATGTGACAATTCAGTCATTTTTGTGAGTTAAAAGCCACCTTAAGTGTGCCCTGGCAATTCATATAGGGCTCGACTTCATCTTCTTCATCTGGAAGCTCCTTCACATCATAACCCTGCTGTTTGAAAATTGCTAAATACAAGTAATAGGAAAGTTCAATTAGTATCCAGTGTCAGTATTGTTATTTGAACATTTTTCCTTTTCACCCTTTCCTCTCAAAATTCACAATAACATTACTGACCTGCCACTTTTTCTCGACCTTCAGTGTAAAGCGTGGACTCGACTGTTTGTGGCCAGCTATCAAAAAATGACCTGAATTTAGCATTTTCCAGTCCTTCTGTTAGAAAGGTTAGATGTACATCAAATGATCTTCCCTCCCTTCTCAGGAAATCCTGGAAGTAACAGCATACCAGTACACCGATTAGGAAATTGTCTCTCAGGGCCTTATATGAAGCACTATGTGTATCACAATCTAAGTCAATCACCGAGGAAACATAATAAACATCCACTCTATTGAACCATAGGGTTGAACATTTGTGCACCATGCTAATTGATTTAGTTTCAAACTTATACATCTTGTTTCCTCATTCTGTGCTAATGTTACTTCGAAGAACAGATTGATGCCAAAAATTGAACATAGTGCCATATAAATGCCACATGTTGATTCAGGAATACTCACCTCTGAGGCTGAAATTGATGTCTTCCTCTCTGTGATTGTGGTGTTTCTTCCCATCCAAATAAACACTTCACCACCACAATCCAACATATAGCATTTGTTCTTTTCAAGCATTTCTTTGTTCAACGAACAACTTCCAGTTGGGTGCAGTTTTCCTTGAGTATCTATCCTGTTGATGAAACATTTTTAGATGATTGATTTATTTAAAAAGTTAGAAGCAAAGTACAACTGACGGGCTAAGTACACAGCATACATAAAAGATGATATCTTTAGATGATCTAGAAAAAGTTGAAGAAAAACAGATACATGAGTGTCTCAAGCAAACTCACCAAAACATTTTTGCTTGTGTAGTATCAAATTGCTCTTGACTAGCAGAAGATGACTCCCTTGGGATGGGAGCATAACCACCAAAGAAAGACCAGAACTCTCCAACGTCTGAATCACCTACAAATTTGCCATCCTCTGCAGAAAATAGAATGGTTAACTATGGCTTGTGTTTCAGGTTTTTTAACCCAAGAAAGGAGTTAGAAGGGAATGTAGATTCTAACCAATAGTAGCCACATGGCATCTTCCCTCATGCTTGCTATCTTTGATATATTCTACAACCTCCAGAGCTTTTGCTCTTTCTTGAGTGCTGGAATTGCAACCGGCGAAGAGAAAAATCTTCGATGCAGTGTCGAGAATGAAAACGTCATCATGGTTTAATGACGAACGACAAAAATTCACCTTGTACAGATTTCAAAGTTCAAACTCACTTAATATAACATATAAATAATTGAGAAATATACTAGCATGTGACTTAAAAAACCCATAACTCAATGAATCGAAGCTTGTAGAAATTCTAAAAACATCTAACAACTCGAAATTTTCACCCCCTGCAGCTGTACCCAGGCATCAAAATTCCACACCTCGTAAAGGGTAACAAACAAAATACATGCAACTCCCTGTCCCCAGTGAATATATCCTACACACAATTTTCACCAGACAATGCCCTTTTTAATCACCGTCTATTCTAATCAAAACAGGACTTACCTCTTTAACACGAATAGCGTGGTCTCCCTTGCACATTAGCAAGCTAATTTGGTACGTCTGATCAGCCAATACAGGTTCTGATGAATACTTCCCTTCAACAGGTATTATACAAGGTTTAAAGTACGATAAGAATTTTTCTGTTTCTTGACCTTGAACCTCCCTGTATTGCACTGTGCAGCATCCCAGTGCTGCATCTAGTTCCAGTGCCTTGTCCGATGCCGATAGTGAGTCCACCTTTAGATGGAGGTAAGACATTTCAAAATGTTACCTTCAACACCATCTATCAAAGGACAGCAAATAATCCAGATCTTAAGATGAATAAACGTGATGAAAAACCTCATTTGCAGCGTTTCCTAGCCAGTAGTGAATGTCATGCTGGGGAGGCCCTGTCTTAGGCAGAACCGTCTGTATATAACAGCCAAGTAATCATCTAAGCTAAATTTCACCTCGGGACAGAGAATACCTCCAAAATAGCACATTCGCAACAAAAATGTGTCGTATAAAAGACTATAAATTCAAACCACAAAAACCTCTAATGCTTACATTGAGAACAATGTACGCATTCCCGGAATAGAATTTCCCGAAAGAGGGCTTTGGGATAGGAACTGGCTGACAATTCTCAATGCACCAAATCTCCAAGCCACTAAAACACAATGGCTAAGCATTAGAAACTCAACCTCAAGAGATAAGCATAAACATAATGCACATGTCCTGTAACCAAGCAAAACAAGAGTACCCTTTGGTTCCGACACCATGAAATGCGGAATCAATGTCTTTGCTTAGCCGTGCCATTTTTTTCGCCGTTCTAATCTCCAAACAGTAATCTGCAATTCACAAACCGATCAGAGGAAAATAAATAAATAAAGGATCCATTAGCCACAAACAAAGCTGCTTCCGGAGATAGCGTCACATTTACGTATGGGGCTTTCTGCTTACACACGCAATAGACTCGAATCAGCTAGCTTCCTAACCAAACTCCACTGAGAGAAACAATTCGCCTAACCACAGTTCAGCTAGAACGAACTCCAATACGCAGAAATAGCAGTCAAATGTACGAACACGACTACTCGTGAAAATTCAAACACCGAAAACCATAAGCAGGAACATGACATTTGAATATGCGAAAAAGGTAGGATAAAAACTAGAATCATAATCGGTGCCGACCATAAAACATAAGTATTTTGATAGTCGAAATCAACAGAGAAACCCTCCAAAAAGAAGAACAATTCCGCCCTTGACCATACATGAGTCGAGATGATTATGAGTGCTGGTACTTACAGAGAACAGCAGACGAACACGGAGAAGAAGACGACAGTTATTCACCCTTATTTTCTCCTCTCCGAGAAAGAGTTGAAAAAAAAAGGCGGACGAGTGGGAGAAAAAATGGAGTTTACGAACCGAAAGCGACCATAGGAGTGAGGAAAATGAAATTATTATGCCTTTTTCATCTGCGAACTAGATGGGTCCCACTGAAGTGGCGCCCTTTTCTATTTTTTCATTTTTTTTAATTTTTGAGATGTCAGAAGAAACGGCGTCGTGCAGGGTAAGCTCGGGCCGATGTGATATTATCCACGATCTTGGATCATTTAATTTAAATGGGCCTCGATAATGATTATATTAGTGTTAAGATATTCATTTAAATAAAAGCCCTTGAAAATGAAAAAGAAAATAAAGGGAATTTATCCATTACGTATCGGAAAAAACATAAAGAGATTGAGATTCCGGCAATGACATTAGTGCTTAAAACTAATTATGGGCTAATCAATTTGTCAACGAATCTGTCAATAGCAACAAAAGACGATCCATCAATCGTCACAGCCTTTCTCGCGGCCTCGGCCATCTCCTTCACCTTCTCTCGCCGTCCATCCCCGCCGTCCATCAAAGATCGTACGGCTCTCGCGATCTCGTCCGCCGCCACGATCTCTCCTTGACCCGACACGTAATCCAGCCGCAGCTCCACTGCAAGTCCGAGCTCCTTCACCATGGTCAACGCGTTCAGCTGTTGCTCGGCGTACATTGGCCACGTGGCGACCGGGACGCCGAACCACAAGCTCTCGAGTATGGAGTTCCAACCGCAGTGAGACAAGAACCCACCTATTGCATCGTGGGCCAATACTTCTACCTGTGGGGCCCATCCACACACCATGCCCTGAGCCGCGGTCCGATCAGCGAACCCATCTGGTAAATGATCGCATGGGTTCGTTTCCTCCGTTGGGTTTTTTCGGATCGACCACAGAAACTTGCAGCCCACGAGCTCGAGGGCTTGGGCTATCTCTTTCAGCTGGGGCCCACCGTGGATGCCGGCGCTCCCGAAGCAGAGGAACACGACCGACGACTCAGGCTGCTTGTCGAGCCATCTCATGATCAGGTCACGCTCCGCTGCGTCCTGGTTCGGATTCGGGCGGTCCTTCAAGCTGAGTATCGGTCCGACCGAGTAGACCTTTGGGTAGCTCTCTAGACGGCCGAAGTAATCAAAGCCGTGCGGCTGGAGCTCAGTGAAAGAATTTACCAAAATGCCCTTCGCACGGTGGAACTTCTCTGCGAGCTCGACGAAAGCCTCGTAGGACTCTCTGACGAACAGACCAGACGGCAAAACCTTCGTGGGGACAGAGCTGACGTATCCCTGAATCGGAAGCTCTTCATCGCCGGAGCTCCGGTCAAACTCCGAGGGAATATTCCGGTGCCGCTCGGGGAGATACTTCATCATGCTCAGAAATCCGGAGCTACAAGTCAAGAAAACGTAAGAGGGAAGATCAAGTTCATTACCCACGTCCACCAACGGGACGCAGAAAAAATCCAGAAGCAATCCCACGACCCGAACAGATTCTGACGACGACACGATGGCCGAAAGAGCGTCTCTGACGAGAGGAGCGAGTTTCTTGATGAACTCCAAAACGTATGCCTCGGAAGCTTTGTGTTTGAGCTCCAATGGCGGAGGTTCGTGGATTTCGGGCAGGGAGATGAGCTTGATGCGTGGCTCGGAAGCGGTGAGCGGTTGGGCGAAGATGTCGGCGTGAGGGGCTGACGGTAATTTCCACTGGAGGATGGTAATGGTGTCGATCCGACGGTCGTGATTGATCAGACGCTTAGCCAGCTCGATCATGACGAGAAGGTGACCAGTCACCGGGACCGAAACTACGACGAGCTCTGTTTGCTTCTTCATCTTTTGCCTTCTTTTTTTTTTTTTTTACCATCCTTTAGAAACCAAAGGCAATATTTATTGGTAAAATGGTAAATAAGAGTATGTGACAATTACAAAAGACAAATGGGGAATGTACAGTCTCAGTTGTTCTGTCGCGGCTATATACCACTCTTTATAACAAGACATTATAAGAAGATTATTTCGACCGCGTAAGTTAATATGTATGTCTATATGGACAAAAACGTTCAAGGTATGTTTTGTTATAATGTATGGGGAAGTATATATATCCCATATATCATATATGATTATCTAGAAGTGACAATACGGTAATCCTATTGTACTAAGGAATCTGTAGATATGTTAATAAAATTATGAATAAATTTGTACCCAATGCTATATTTTATTTGAAATGATATAATTTTATACCCATAAAAGCCAAGAATCGTGCTTAATTGCAAATCCAAAGACGATCGGGTCACGGGCCGGGGGGTGGCGAAGAGTCGACGTCCGACAAGTCCAGGAAAGATCCACCGTCCATCGGTTCGCAATATTGGATGGTTATAGTTTGGGTCAAGCTAATAATCAATTCACAAGTTAAATGGGCCTAGATGTGATTATAATCGTATTAAGATATTCATGTAAATAAGAAAGCACCTGGCCCCGCCATGAAGTTTTCGAATAAAATTGAATAGTATAATTTTTAACTAAAAAAATCCAAATTGAATGGAATATAAAATTGATAAAATAAATAAATTTTGTAAAAGTAATTATTTTTTATAAAATAAAAGATTCTCAGCAAAAACCTAATCAAATTGAAGTTAATATAAAAATGGAATAATTATAATTATTAAAAAGAAACAAAATCATCGAACTCGTATTAGAGTCAGCATGCCTACTAAAGATCCTTGCTAATAAAAGTCTCATGCTCGACCTGTTCCTGTCTTCGAGAATATCCCCATATCTTTATATTTTATTAAAAAAAATAGATATGAAGATCATTTTCCACTTTATTAGCAAGGATCTTTAGTAGGTATGCTGACTCTAAATCTTTCGAGATATATAATTAAATATTATATATTCTTTTAATGGGATCATTTCATTTCATTTGATTCGCATTAGATTGATAAATATATATATATATATATATATATATAATTGTTTTTATTCCGTTCGATTAACACCATACATCATTCGATTTCGATTGAATTTCATATATTAACCGAATCGATCACTTACAAATAGATGGAATATGTACCAATTACCAAACAATACCATATATTTATCGAATTATTTGTTACATCTCATTTATTTATGGAGAAATAGCCAAGTGAAGGACGAAAGACTAAGCAAATATTAATTTGAATACATCTCCTTCGTTACGAATCAACGACCGTTAAGTCCCCAATAAATGAAGTAATAGCCGAGAACGAAGATCCACCGTCCATCACAGCCTTTCTCGCGCCCTCGGCCATCTCCTTCACCTTCTCTCTCCGTCCATCCCCACCGTCCATCAGAGATCGTACGGCTCTTGCGATCTCGTCCGCCGCCACCATCTCTCCTTGACTCGACACGTAATCAAGTCGCAGCTCCACGGCAAGCCCGAGCTCCTTGGCCATCGTGAACGCGTTCAGCTGTTGCTCGGCGTACATTGGCCACGTGGCGATCGGGACGCCGAACCACAAGCTCTCGAGTATGGAGTTCCAACCGCAGTGAGACACGAACCCTCCTATTGCCTTGTGGGCCAATACTTCCACCTGTGGGGCCCATCCACTCACTATGCCCTGAGCCGCGGTCCGATCAGTGAACCCATCTGGTAAATGACCGTATGGGCTTGTCTCCTCTGTTGGGTTTGTTCGGATCGACCATAGAAACTTACAGCCCACGAGCTCGAGAGCTTGGGCTATCTCCTTCAACTGAGGCCCACCGTGGATGCCGAAGCTGCCGAAGCAGAGGAATACGACCGACGACTCAGGCTGGCCGTCGAGCCATCTCATGATCCTCTCTCGCTCCGCTGCGTCCTGGTTCGGATTCGGGCGGTCCTTCAAGCTGAGTATCGGTCCAACGGGGTAGACCTTTGGGTAGCTCTCTAGACGGCCGAAGTAATCAAAGCCGTGCGGCTGGAGCTCACTGAACGAATTTACCAGAATGCCCTTCGCATAGTGGAACTTCTCTGCGAGCTCGACGAAAGCCTTGTAGGACTCTCTGACGAACAGACCAGGCGGCAAAACCTTCGTGGGGACAGAGCTGACGTATCCCTGAATCGGAAGCTCTTCATCGCCGGAGCTCCGGTCAAACTCCGAGGGAATATTCCGGTGCCGCTCGGGGAGATACTTCATCATGCTCAGAAATCCGGAGCTACAAGTCAAGAAAACGTAAGAGGGAAGATCCAGTTCATTACCCACGTCAACCAACGGGACGCAGAAGAAATCCAGAAGCAATCCCACGACCCGAACAGATTCCGACGACGACGACACGATGGCCGAAAGAGCGTCTCTGACGAGAGGAGCGATTTTCTTGACGGACTCCAAGATGTAAGCCTCGGAAGCTTTGTGGAAGAGCTCCAATGGCGGAGGTTCGCGGATTTCGGGCAGGGAGGTGAGCTTGATGCGTGGCTCAGAAGCGATGAGCGATTGGGCGAAGATGTCGGCGTGAGGGGCAAACGGTATTTTCCACAGGAGGATGGTGACGGTGTCGATCCGACGACGATGGTCGTGGTTGATCAGACGCTTAGCCAGTTCGATCATGACGAGAAGGTGACCAGTCACCGGGAATGAAACTACGACGAGCTCTGTTTGCTTCTTCATCTTTTGCGTTCTTTCTCTCACCGTTTCTTTTTTTTTTTACTTCAGAATCCAAGAGGACTGAAATCAAGATATATGTGTGTATATATATTGGTAACAAACACAACATTATGGGTGCACAGTCTCACTTATTCTGCGACAGCTATAAACCACTCTTTGGAAGCAAACCATAATACGAAGACTATGTCGACCACATATGAGGTCTTAAAAAGGGCTTTTATCAAAAATACCCCTACAATGCTACAAAGACTTCAAGGCATACCCCTGCAAAAATAAAATAAAATAAAAAGTTAGTTCAAAACATACCCTTATAATTATGTTATTCCCATAATACCCATTGGCGTGAGTCCCAATGACAGAAACAGAAGAGAGAGAAAACAGTTTTCGGTTCCCTAGGAAAAAAATTAAATATTTTAAAATTTTTAAAACTCCCTCCACCACAAAAAATTAAATTTTTCGCGTGAATTTTAAAATTTTTCGGTGTGACCAGTGTGACCAGTGTGACCAAGTGACCAGTGTAACCAGTGTGACCAGTGTGACTAGTGTGACCAGTGTGACCAAAACTAAATTTTGAACGGTGTGACCAGTGTGACCAAGTGACCAGTGTAACCAGTGTGACTAATGTGACCAGTGTGACTAGTGTGACCACTGTGACCAAAACTAAATTTTGAACGGTGTGACCAGTGTGACTAAAACTAAATTTTGAACGGTGTGACCAGTGTGACCAAAACTAAATTTTGAACGGTGTGACCAGTGTGACTAGTGTGACCAATATGACTAATATGAACGGTGTGACCAAAACTAAATTTTGAACGGTGTGACCAGTGTGAGCAAAACTAAATTTTGAACGGTGTGACCAGTGGGACTAGTGTGACTAGTGTGACCAGTGTGACTAGTATGACCAGTGTGACCAGTGTGACCAGTGTGACCAAAACAAATTTTGAACGGTGTGACCAGTGGGACTAGTGTGACTAGTGTGACCAGTGTGACCAAAACAAATATTTGGAATTAATATGCGCCTCTTACATATTCTTCGACAGATTTGCTATGCATCTATCTCATTTTCATAAATAAAAAAAAACCACACGATTCACTCTAAAAATCATAAAACGCAAACACAAAACACAAAGTTTATGCATCAAACCAATCTCTTGTATTAATGAGTTTACCTTCGGTTCTTGTCATTTGTTCTGTCTTAGACCGACTCAAGAAGAAGATATGAGGTCGTCGGTGAAGATATGCTCAACGAAATAATCATTTTTCGTTTGTTTTTCTATGTATAAAAATGAAATGAGAAGAAAGAAAATGGAAGAGTTGAGAGAAAGATAAGAGTAGAGAGAGAAAGTTAAGAAAGAAATGAAGAGTTGTCAAAGAATGAAAACAAGAGAGGTGAATTCAAAATGAAGAGAGGAGTATCACGTTACTTTTGTGAGAGGGTTAATTATGTCTTTTATTCCTTTTATTTTTTTTTTCAAAATTTTAGGGTTTTGAAGGGTATACCATGAAGTCTTTGTAGCAAAGTAAGGGTACTTTTGCTATTTTGCCTCTTAAAAAACATGTTTTATGGACAGGAACGTTCAGCGTATGTTTTCCATACATATACATTATATGTGTATATATGAATGTATGTATGTATATGGTTATCTTGAAGTGACCGGCGGCACATGCACCGAAAAGCAGAAATATTATGAGGGATAATGATAAAAAGACGATCCAAATAACCGTACGTAATCTATATTAAGTATCTATATATATATATATATATATATATAGATATATATATTTGGTCCACAAACGTTATGATGAAGGATCAACGGCCAACAATTCCCGGAGGAAAGTGGATACTGCGGAGAAGGAAGATCCACCGTCCATCAATGCCTTCCTCGCCAGACCAGCCATCTCCTTCACCTTCTCCCTCCTCGAATCTCCACCGTTCATCACAGATCGGACGGCTCTCGAGATCTCCTCCGCTATCACGACACTTCCGTGGCCGGACACGTAATCCAGCCTCAGCTCCACAGCGAGGCCCAGCTCCTTTGTCATCGTGAACGCGTTCAGGTGTTGCTCGGCGTACATCGGCCACGTGGCAATCGGAACTCCAAACCACAAGCTCTCCAGTATGGAGTTCCAGCCGCAGTGAGACACGAACCCTCCTACCGCTTTGTGGGATAGTACTTCCACCTGCGGGGCCCACCCGCACACCACGCCCCGACCCGTGACCCGACCCATGAACCCGTCTGGCAAGAGGTCGTACGGCTTCACGTCCTTCATCGGGTTTGTCCTGATCGACCAAAGAAATCTGCAGCCACATGATTCGAGCCCCAGAGCTATTTCCTTCACTTGCATGCTGTCTAAAACTCCTTTGCTTCCAAAGCAGAAGAACACGACAGATGACTCATGCTGTTCGTCGAGCCATCTCATGATCATGTCATGTTCCACTGGATCTATGTTCGGATTCGGACGGTTCTCAAGGTTTACAACCGGACCCACCACGTAGACTGGCGGGTAATTCTCTTCGCGGCTGAAATAATCAATAGCATGTGGCTCAAGATCGGTGAATGTATTCACCAGAATACCCTTTGCGTCCTTGAATCTCTCCGCTAGCTTCACGTAAGCCTCGTGCGAGTCTTTCTGAAACAGACGAGGCGGCATAACGTTCACAGGGACGGAACGGTCGAACCCAGGGATCGACAAGAGCTCGTGACAGGACCTGTCATCGAACTCGGACGCTACCCTTCTGTGACGTTCGGACAGGTACTTCATCAAACCCAAGAATCCGGCACTACACGTCAATAAGATGTAAGAAGGTATATTCAGATCGTCACCCACGTCGATCAAAGGGTTGGAGAAGAAATCAAGAACCAACCCAACAACATGAACTGAACCGGAAGCATGATAGGACGAGACGAGGGCCGAGATAATCTCTCTAAGGACAGGCAAGGCTTTGATGATGTACCGATATATGTATGCCTCGGCAACTCTCGTGTAGAGGTCAAGTGGGGGAGGGTCTTCGATTTCGGGTAAGTCAACGAGGTCAATGTCAGGATGGGAACGAGAGAGAGCGTCTGAGTAGGAGGAGGAGGGAGAAGTGAATGGTAATCTCCAGGAGAGGATGGTGATGTTCTTGACCCGACGGTCGTGATTCATCAGCCGCTTCGCCAGCTCGATGGTTACCGGCAAGTGACCGGTCACCGGAAGCGAGACGAGGATAAATGCGGCTGCTTTCTTCGCCATGTTTATGCATGCACGTCTTCTGCACCTTTTAACATTTCAAGAAATGAAAAATATTCAGAAATAAATCACGACTTTAATAAAATATCTACCGACAATTGGAAAACACAGTGCGACAGGGACATATCCCTTCATCTTTCATTATCATTAGAACACGACAAAAAAGGGTTTGCGTAACCAATCTGGAGTCTCGAGGGATACATTTTATTATCATTTTCATGCAGATTTGTGGGTCATCGCGAGAAAAACGACGGGCAATACAGAAATAATAATATACTCATGCTATCTTTTATACATACAAAAAGAAGAGCATGGAAAGCTATGGGACTGTATCTAGTGGAAAACGATGACCGAAACTTCAGACATGTGTGACAATAAATCAAACTATGAACGAACAGACAATATATGGCAGAAACCAAACTCCTCTAAAGATCTAAGACTCACCTCCTAACATGTCCCGGATGAATCTTTCAATGGCAAAATACGAAGTTCCATCTTTCGTCGCAGCTTTCTCGCCATTTCCGAAATCTCCTTCACTTTCTTCCTCACTACATTACCATCATTCTCCATCAAACACCGAATGGCAGTCTCTATTTCGTTAGCCGTTACCCCTGAAAGCATCGTCGCCGTTTCCCCTGAAATCAAGCCTCATGTCCACCGCGAGTCCGAATTCCTCGACCGTCATGAAGGCTTTAAGTTGTTGCCCAGCTAAATTGGCCACGTGACTCTCAAGTATCGAACTCCACAGGCAATGAGATACAAAACCTCCTACTGACTTGTGAGACTGTATCTCCAGCTGCGGAGTCCACCCGCAAATCATTCCCCACCCGCCGACACCCTCGAGGAAGCCCTCGGGCAGAAGATCACCGGCATTTGGTTGGTGAGTTCGGATTGACCATATGAACCTGCACCCACTCTGCTCAAGCCCTTTTGTTATTTCCTTCACCTGATGATCTCCAAGAATACCACCACTTCCAAAACAAAGGAATACAACCGAACACTCGGGTTGGTCATCGGGCCATTCAATCAACTCACTCTGACGATTGAGATCCAGACCAGAGTGAGGAGGAGGGGCCTGCAACCCGGGCATGGGGCCGATAGTGTATACAGAAGGGTAACAACCCTGCTGACCGAGGAAATTATCCGTAGAGCACTGCTCAAGATGGGGGAATGTATTCACAAGAACACCATTAGCCTCAACGAGCCACTAGGCAAGCTTGATGTAAGCATCATAACCGTCCTCGCAAAATAGTCCCGACGGCAAAACCTTTGAAGGAACGAGGTTTACGAAGCCCGGAATCACCAATCCAGTATCAGAGTTTCTCTCGAACTTTGACGTGTCATTGCTCTGTTTCTCAAGCAGATACTGCATCAAACCGAGCATTCGTGGTCAAGAAGATGTAAGAAGAGAGACTCAGCTCCTTGGCAATGGCAATCATCCGGGCAAAGAAAAAATCAAGAATCGTTCCCTTGACCTCATCTACATCCACAGCACAAGAAGATAAGATGCCAGTAATAGTATTTCTCATCTAAGGCACATTCTTTTCCACAGTTTCTAGAGTTGGCCTTCCAGAGACTTGGTAACAAGCGTGCTAGGAGGTGAGAACTCGAATTCAAGCACATTGATGATCCGGACGCGGGGCTGAGAAGAAGAAAATTATGCAATGTAATGGGTCCAAGTGACCCTTTACCTTCATCAAGATGATAGTCATCCAAATCATGTCATCTTGATCGAGCAAGCGTTTTGCAAATTCAAGGACCGAGACCAAGTGACCAGAACCCGGAGTCGGGATGAAGATGAGCTCTGCTCCTTTCATCTCTGCAGAAAAAGGTGATATGGGTTTGATCAATCTTCCCTTCCTCAGCCCCTTTTTCCAGACGAACTGTTTGATCTGCTCATCAAAGAAAAGGGCAAAGTCAACTTTGCTCATTAGCATAATCACACAAGAAGTCATTTTGTATTACAAAAGACATGGAGGCGCGTGAAAATCACGCAATGCTTCTACCAAACAGTTAGTTAAACGGCCCTACGCTTTTGGACTTTCTTCTTTCCTTCCAATAATTCCAAAAGGATGTTCACATCTCAAACCTGTGATGGAAACACCACAACCACTAAAACAAACGACCTTTATTTAAAAAAAAAAAACTATTTTGATCACTTTGATAGAGAAACTACAACCCTTGATGTCCCAAGAACACTTGCAAGAATATCTCTGAAGAGGTTGTCTCGTCAGCTGTCACTGATGTACCAAGAATGTTATCAAGAAGATCTGTCCCTGAAAATGTTGGCATTCATTGAAAAACCAAGAAGAATAGTAGAAACGAATTTCCTTACCTTTCTGAGTTTCAACAGGTCACGGAGAGAAGCAATAGCTTACAAAAAGCCAAATGCAAAGAGTTGGAAAATTATAATGGAAGATCCACACTTCAAAGTTCAAATAGATCATAGAACAAAAGCAGAATTGTGCAGTAGATAGTAGAGAAGTAATATCAAGCAATCACTGAAATAGAGTAGAAGTCTAGCATGACATTCAAAGAAGAGGGTTCGACTTTCGGGAATCCACCGCATGTTATACGGAAGATATCATTAACCTTAGCTTCACAATATGATGGAAAGAAAAGATTGATTAAAGCTTATCACAATTCATAAAAGCTAAGACCTGCTTCCTACTACGTCCTGGATGAATTTTTCAATTGCAACAGAGGAAGATCCACCATTCATCACAGCTTTCCTTGCCAATGCTGATATCTCCTTCACCTTCTCCCTCACCACATTACTCTTCTCCATCAAACATCGAATAGCGGTCTCTAGCTCGTTTGCCATTACAATTTCACCGCTACGCACCCTGTAATCCAGCCTCAACTCCACTGCAAGGCCCAGTTCCTTCACCATCATGAAGGCATTTAGCTGTTGCTCAGCATACATAGGCCAAGTCACAATTGGCACACCAAACCACAAGCTCTCAAGTATCGAAGTCCACCCACAGTGAGAGACGAAACCTCCAATTGCCTTGTGGGCCAATATTTCCACCTGTGGGGCCCAACCGCATATCATTCCTCTTCCGCTGACACTGTCGAGGAATCCCTCAGGAAGAAGACTATCAGGGTCCCCATTCGTTGGTTGTTGTGTTCGGAATGACCACAGGAATCTGTGTCCGCATTTCTCAAGTCCTTGTGCTATTTCTTTCACTAGAGGACTTGACAATCTTCCCAGGCTACCAAAGCAAAGGAACACAACAGAAGCCTCGGGTTGGCGGTCAAGCCATTCAATCACTTCTGCACGACGGACAAGGTCCAGATCTGGATGAGGATGGGCCTTCAAATCAAGGATGGGTCCAATAGCATAAACAGAGGGATAACCCGGGTCATGAAGAAAATGATTCATAGGGGATGGCTCAATATCAATTGACGTATTCACTAGAACACCCTCAGCCTTTGCGAACAACTCACCTAGTTTGACAGAAACATCATAACCATCTTGCCAAAACAGCCCCGAAGGCAACACTTTCAAAGGAACAGGGTTGGCAAAGCCTTGTATGGGCAACCATTCTTCAGAATTTCTCTCAAACACCGAGGTATCTTTCCTATTACGTTCTGGAAGATACTGCATCAAGGTTAGGAACCCGGCATTCGCACTTAGGAACACGTAAGGAGGAAGACTCACCTCGCTTGCAATGCCAATCATGGGGAGACAGAAGAAATCAAGAACTAATCCCTTGACCTGAATTCCATCCGATGGACGAGAAGATAAGATATCCATAATTATATTCCTCACGAGAGGTATGTTTTTCTCAATAACCGCATACATATGTGCTTCCACAGATTGCGTAACAAGACCAGGTTCCTCCTCTAACTCGGGCACGTCAATGAGCTGGACACAGGGCAGCGATGAAGCAAATGATCTAGCATAAGGATCCAATGGAGCCTGACCTTGTAGCTTCATCAAGAGTATGGTGATCCGAATCCTATCATCTTGATCAATCAGACGCCTTGCAAATTCAAGAATGGAAACCAGATGGCTAACCAAAGGCGTGGGGATGAAGATGAGTTCTGCACTCCTCATAACTGCAAAATATTATGTAGACAGCTTGAGATCTTTCCTCCTCAAGCCCTCTTATATATGATGATACGGATCTGGAAATCAATCAGAAAGAAATTAGCCCCCCTTTAGTTCAGTTTTACCTCAGACTCAGACAGTTCAAATTTGGTTCATCACATGTGATGATATTTGGCTGCACAAGAAAATCATGTCATATGATCCTACCTACCAGCTAGGTGATGTGTCTCTCTAACAACCTGGAAAGAAGAGACAACCAAAGTAATGGTCCAAAAGGTCTGACTCGGAAAATAAAAGTCGCTAGCAAAAGAATAGCACATTGGAATCCACAAGAAAAATAAAGCCAATATTCCACATTATCTCTTTCTTCAACGTTTACCAAAGGAGACGACAAGAAGAAACTAACCTCGTAAGCGCCCACTGTGTTGAAGAATCCACACACCATGTTGAACAAAGAACTCTATCATCTCTAAGGACGAAGAACGAGAATCCGACCCGACCCAGGAAGCTTCTCTTTTGGGAAAATGATCTTATTGAAGCAAGACATTGAAAGAGTTTCAGCAATGGCAATCCCAGCAACCAAATCCTCTTTGAGGAGTTGTTTGTTTTTTAGGGAAAGGAACCCAGGGATCGACAAGAGCTCGTGACAGGACCTGTCATCGAACTCGGACGCTACCCTTCTGTGACGTTCGGACAGGTACTTCATCAAACCCAAGAATCCGGCACTACACGTCAATAAGATGTAAGAAGGTATATTCAGATCGTCACCCACGTCGATCAAAGGGTTGGAGAAGAAATCAAGAACCAACCCAACAACATGAACTGAACCGGAAGCATGATAGGACGAGACGAGGGCCGAGATAATCTCTCTAAGGACAGGCAAGGCTTTGATGATGTACCGATATATGTATGCCTCGGCAACTCTCGTGTAGAGGTCAAGTGGGGGAGGGTCTTCGATTTCGGGTAAGTCAACGAGGTCAATGTCAGGATGGGAACGAGAGAGAGCGTCTGAGTAGGAGGAGGAGGGAGAAGTGAATGGTAATCTCCAGGAGAGGATGGTGATGTTCTTGACCCGACGGTCGTGATTCATCCGCAAGCCATATAAGGGAAAGAAATCTACAAAAAGCTTCAACTTTCGAATCACCCAAAAGGGGAAAATGAAACACAAGATTAAAAAAAAAACTTGCTGGTCCGATCAAAATCAAGCTAATAAAATTGGAATTTACAAATTGCAACCAGATCAGTGGGTTAAACAATGAAATTATAACAACGGGACAATCGAGAAATCAAGGCAAATACATTACATCAAGGTACAGAAACAGTATAATTCAGGAGAGAGACAGGACAAGAGTTCGTTACATCCCGAAACCCTAAAGAGAGAAGCCAAGACCATGAAATACCGTATAGAGAAAATCCAAAACCCATCGAGGGTTAAGCCAAAATCACCGGCTGTGATCGTAATCGAGGACCTCGGAGTCCGTGACGGACCGCGAGTGCTGCACGATGGATCGTCCGATGGAGTTGATCCACTCCTCCTTCGCCTTCTCGTTGTCGGCGAGGAAGTACATGGTGTACCTCCCCGTGGATAGCTCGAAGGCGAAGGGCTTATTGACGGCGTCGTCAGCTCCTTTGACGGTGAGACAATCGCCGACGGAGATGACACCACGTGGCGTGGATCCGCGATCTCCAGCGGCGGCGGGATCCTTGAACCAGAGGAGCTTCCCGCGCTTGAGGACGAACCAGCGGCGGCGCCATGTACTGATGTACTCGCCCTGCTTCGTGAGCCAGCCGGACCGTTCAGGTTCAGACCAGAACTCGACCCCTTCGTAATCCTCCCGATTCGGGTCCTGACCCGTGGCGATTCGCCATAGATTCTCCATTCTCTCGCTCTCTCTCACCGGTTCGCTCTAGCGACTTGGCTTTTGAGTTTTTAATTTCGTTTGCTTTGGATCGTTTGATTCTGTTCTGCGTAAAACGGCTCCGGCCCACCTGATCGACCGAGAACCTCGAAGAAAAACGTCGTCGTTTTCAGAGGGATCGATGTAACCGTCGTCGTTTAGAATCATTCAAGTCTATTGTACAATTTTGTACGATCTAGAAATACGAGAATTTAAGATTTTGTTTCACATTTTCGAGGATGCCGACGCCAGGTCACATTTATATAGGATAAAATAAAATAAATAGTCTACTACTATCAAGAAATAGAAAACAAAAAAAGAAAACGATTCAAAACACCCATAAAAAGTCTACCGTATCGCTGTTCTTAAATTGAAATTGCATTTCTACCTTCGAATAAATTATTTTGGCAGATATTGCTTCTCAACAAGCTATAATATAGAAACAAGACAGATATCTCAAACCTTGTCCTCATGTCTGAAAGTTTCAGAGCTTCCGTGGACGATTGAATCTAAAGAAGACGATAATACGTCTAGTTTACTCACGCGTTATTTATCTGGGGAGTGTCGGTTCCAAGAAAGGAAGACTCGGCCAGGTCAATGGCTCGGGCCAGACCCGCGGCCTTGTTCTCGCATTCCCTCTGCTCGTCATCGGGGTCACTGTCGGCCACGACCCCGGCCCCGGCCTGAATATGAGCGATCCATTCGCGCCGTTTCTGAGGATGCTTGTAAGAGTACATGATGTCGAAGCGAGAATTGGTGGGGAAGACCATAGTCCTTAAAGCAAGGGCAATGTCCATGTCTCCGCTGAAGGATATACCTCCGAAGCCTCCGCTGTATGGTCCACGCCTTGTCACCTCCACTTCGTCTATTAGCTCCATGGCTTTCACCTGGTTCATGATCGAGATTGACATGAATTTATGGTAAAGAGCATTCCAGTAATGGTAAAGTCATGATCATGAGAGAGAGAGAGATAGAACCTTAGGAGCTCCGCTGACTGTTCCGACGGGAAGTGCTGCTCTAAGAGCGTCCCAACTTGTTAGATCGTCAAGCAGTTCACCTGTCACCTGCGGTAAATGGAGATGGGCCGAACGGGTTGGCAGCCAAAGTTAGAAACTAGCGGCTGCTACATAAGATTGGAGAAAAGAAATATACTTTACAATCCGAAAGGTTTGATTTTTTCGTGGTGAATAACTGGGACTTGGTGCTTCATTCAGCATTAAAACAATTGTTTCGAAGTTTTATTTGAAAAAATGCGATAGCATACCGTGGAGCTTATGTGCATGACATGTGAATACCGTTCTATGTTCATGAGCTTCTCAACTTTCACAGAGCCGGCCTTCGATACCTGAGTGCACAAGCCAAGCTTTAAGGTTAGATGCATTGGCTTATCAAATGCGTTATACCTTGAAAAATGGGGGTCAAAAGCCAAAAAAAGGAACAAAAGTTTAGTAATGGGAGGATGATGAACCTTGCCGACATCATTTCTACCCAAGTCAACAAGCATAATATGTTCTGCACACTGTTTTTCATCGCTCAAAAGCTCTTTCTCCAGCATTACATCTTCCTTGGGTGTCTTTCCTCGTCTGACAGTTCCAGCAAGAGGTCTATTGGTGATTTTCCTCTGTATACAAATCATGGGACATGTTTGGAATTTAAGGTGAAGAAGATTTTAGGTGTGATGGAACGTAAACACATCAAAAAGGGTAGAGGAGAGACCAGATTAAGGAGTAGGGGAACAAAGGAGTAGAGGAGGAGAGAGTACATTGCAGCACTTACATTTTTTGAACGTAACAAGATTTCTGGACTTGAAGCGACTAATATGCATCCTCTCGCCTGATCGTATGCATAAAGTCCACAAATTAGCAAATTAGCAATACTCATGGAACTCTTCAAGAACGGCCTTAGAGAAAAGGACCACAAGAATGCATACTTGCAAATAAGCCATATAAGGACTTGGATTAACAATCCTCAAGGCTCTGTAGATCTCAAATGGGTCCGCAAATGTCCGCCTCTCAAATCGCTGACTAAGAACTATCTGGAAAATGTCTCCAGCCAGGATATGTTCTTTGGCTTCTAATACTGCTTTCTTGTATGCCTCATTTGTCATACTTGATTTCTTCAATTTAGGACCAAATAGTTGGGTCTGTAGCTTTATAAGACCACTAGGCATCCTTGGGCTGCAATTGACAGAAACACACTGAGCCCAAACTGAATCTATAAGCAAGAAAAAAAATTTGGAAATCCGAAACTGTCTGAATGATCTACTCACAGCTTTTGGTCTTGAATTCTAGACAATAGGGATTCCAACCGACTCATTCCATCAGTGAAGTTCTCTTCAATGGAACGATTCTTATCTATCAGCACCCAATGGATTACATATGCTTTCTGAGTTCAATAATAGTTCATTGATAAGGAAAAATGATTGTTCAGTTCATTGAAAAATCCAGCACAAGATACAAGAGATTACCTTCTCGACGTGGTCAAACACGATCACATCATCATAAAGGCCCAAATGAACATCAGGAAGGTTCCTATCATCCTCCGGAGCATTCGAGAAAGGCAGCTTCTTCTTCTCAACGTAACGCACGGTATCATATGAGAAATATCCAACCCAACCACCTGGATTGCAAAGAGAACAAACCTTTTGGATTATCAACCATCTGAAGATTAAGCCCAGACTGCATTGTCCTTACTAGCAGATGAAACAAACATCGGACTTTTAGAACACAGCATATGTAACTAGTTCTCTTACCACAGAAGGCTTCCGGCAACTCATCAGTGCGCTGTGGATTCCAAGCCTCCATTATCTTTTGAGGAACCATCATCGGATCTTCTACCACCTCCTCCGTCCTATGCCCTGCTCCGTGATCCATAACCGTAACGACATTTCCCTTCGCCACGATTTCTATTGTAGGCTGAGCTCCAACTACACTATACCTTCCCTAACATAATTCTCCCAGAGATTCACTCATATGTAAAGCTCAATCCACGGAGGAGGTAAAACCCAAACAAAACGAGACGGAAACTGAAATATCGAAGGCTTACGATATTGGAAGCTTCCAAACCAGGCTCCACCGACTCGAACAAGAAGCTTGGAGCATCTCTCTCGTCCTCTTTCACCAAACATCGGTAAGCAAGTACGGGAGTCAAATGATCCGAGAACACGCATCTGTACAGAGGAACTAAATTTCCCTTTCCCGCTGCTTCCTTGAACTTTGTCAACTGATCTACTGAAGAATCTGCAGGGTACGAATTCAATACGTAGGCGCTTCTACAACTTGCGAGAAACTCGTGTATAATTCGACACTAACAGTAGCTCGGCTATTACAATGACCAGCAAAATCGACTAAAAGCAGCCCCAATGGAGAATAGCTCAGTTTACCTAAAGATGGAGCAGATGAAGAAGAGCATCTGATCGGATGGAGACGCGAGCTAGCGTTGCAGACTCGGAGGACCTCGGATCGGGAGATCGAGGCTCCGCCATTGAAGTGAAGAGAAGTTGCCGGCGGAGAAGCGGCAGGGGAAGGGCGGGGCGTTAGGGCTAGGGCTTCGACGGCGGAGAAGTTGGACTTGACAGAGAAGAGAGAAGTGGAAGACATATTCGGCGATCTCACAGATTCAACTCGTTCGTTACAGTCCAAAGAATGCGACTATATGCGAGGCGGCGATTTCGACAACCAATAATACGTACGTACTATGTGCGTGCATTTTTTTATTCCCTTTTATTTATTAACAATTCAAGCTAAAATCAAATTATTTTTATGATACATTGACTGGTTTTTAACTTTTTAAAATGAACAAGAATAGAACTAACAAATAATTAAATAAATAGAAATAGAATGAAAATTTGAAATATCAAGATTTGTTTCTATAAATATAAGATAATGTCATCAATATAATATTTTGATCAAATGGGAAGGACATTAGCAACGGCTGTAACGTATGAGAGCCCTTTCTTGAGTTATGTTCTTCCGGTATCGGCTTGTCTCCTCTGGTCCTCAAGATTCATAAAACCCTTTTTCAGTTACTTTCGGTTCAAGATTTTATTCAGCTGGGTTTCTTCGAAACCGACAAGGGGCTTGTCTTTTTGTCTCCAAATGGGTCTAACACAAGAAAGGAAGAAGCACAGTCCGTGTCTTGCGCTGGTTCCTTCCTTGGGGCCGAAAATCATTTCCATTTGCTTTGGACAATGGCGGTCGTCGTTCCCCGGTAGAATCAAGGCATTTGAATTGGGTCGGAGCCAATCACAGGAGACAGTTTCGGAAGAATCTGATTCCCTGTTGTGCATCATGAACAACAAAACAACGAAAAGAGAGCATGAGAAGAGGGGGAGGTGTGCGTTGAATTCATCGTTGGGGGAAGAGATGTTATCAGTAGGCGTAGGTGCCGTACCTGCAAAGCGAAAGTGATGTCCGATTCATCTACTTTCAGAGTTACCCTCTTTAGCTTATCCTCTCGTGCCTGACCAAGTTTAAGAAGACCCTACGCATTTTTTTTGAAGACAAAAGCACACAACTGCTCAGTTTTTATTCAGACATAAGAACCACATCAGCGTCCAAAGGTGTGCAGATATATTCATGTGTCAGTTACCTGATCGTTTAGAACCGTACACATGTTAGAGAACTCAGTGATTCCAGCCGCCGGTATCATTGAAGATTTGCAGATTTCCAGGTACAGCTTATTCAGCTGCATGGACGGAGATGATTGATATACAATTCAAAAGAGGTTTCTTGGTTTCTCTTCATCGTGTTGGCGTTTTTTCTATATATATAGTTCACTGAACAAAATGTTTACCTCTCCAAGCGTTGTGTCCTTTTTGGGTCCTCGGAATGCCTTCGCAGCAGAACAGATTATCATCTGCATGAGACGCGAAAATGGATTCAGGTTTTTAAGCTACGGTTTTGTTTTCCAATATATTTAAAAGCTTGGCTATAGGACAAACATCGCAAAATATATGATGAAGTGTGCATAAACCTGTCTAATCCAAAACTAATAACATTGAATGCAAACATTTCTATGGAAACAAATCATGCACACAATGTGTATGCAACTTACTTGCTGATGTTGAGGAAGAGACTGAATTGTGTCTACTACTGGAGATTTAAAAGTCCTAGACAATGCAGCTGCCATATGGGTCATCTTCACCTGTAATCCATTTTCAAGACAGAAAGCAGCTATGCAATGAGAGACCATGGAGTATAAGTGAACCCTTGGTATTACATGAATAGGAAGGTAAACTGACCACAAAGAGACTCATATTATACTCACCATTAGATTCTCTGGAGTAGAACCTGTTGAATCCGACTCTGTCAATTCTCTAGCGTCTGTTTCAAGGATTTCCAGAGCACTCCTGCAGACGCATAGAGCCTTTCGCATGTCTCCTGATGCAGCCGCGACTTTCTGAGCACATTGCAAAAATTTACAAACATCAGATGGAGAATTGTAGGAGCAAAGACCGAATTTGGGGGGATTATGGAATCGTACTCTGGCACAAAGCTCCAATGCATTAGATTCAAATGCAACAAATGGAAGTTCCTGTTAAACACTCACAAAATAAGTCGGAGAATATAAAAACAGCACACAACAGAATTTTTTTTTAATAAAAACAAAGATCAGAAGTTTTACCATAAGCCTCTCCTGTAGTATCCTGAGGATCTGATCTTTAGAATAGGCACGGAAAGTGACAACCACGGGTTTACCTGCACAGGAAAATGATAGAACATTAGTTAAGCAAACATTTCTAGATCTTCAACATTACACAAAAAGAGACGCACACTTACAATTAAGAGATTTCAATCTTGGAAGAAAACGATCCGCAAGGTCTATTGCATTTGCTACCCCTGGAAATCAAATGCAAACCCATGATTGTGTATGAACAGAAGGACTGACAGTTATGAAGTTAACATGACAGTGTATCTCACAAGACGGTACCTATAAGTATAATCCTAGAAAATGGCAAAGTTGTAAGCATAAAAAGGTCGTGAAGGATGCCCCGATCTTTTGTGATCAAGTAATCCATCTCATCTGCAATTATTAACCTGCAGAAGGAATTTGGATCAGGAACACCGCTGGTAATTCCAGATCACAAAAAGGTAACGGAATCTCAGAAAAGAGCTTGATCCTACATCATCTTTGAGCTGGGAGATTGCTGCTTTTGAGAAAACAAATTCTGAAGATGTTTTAGAGGTGAAGATGAGCCATTAACTTTGCCCTTCGCCTGGTTTTCGCCAAGTATCTGACAAAGCAATAAACCAGTAAACACATGTATGACCCTGAATCCATGATTATGAAGTCTACGCTCCACAGGTTGCAGAAGGTATACCTTGTTGAAAATATCTGCTGCGTTTGTGAGTGATGTGCAATTCACAGACACTGTATCAGGAGATGGCAAACCTTCCTGATACAATTAAAGAGGGATTATCAGAATTAGAGTCTGTGCTTTTAGATTTCAAGTAACTGGATAGAACACGACGATTTCTCACCTGTTTTGCCCAATCATTCACCTGTTGTTTTACCCTCTCCATCGACAAAGACTTCCCTGTTCCAGGACACCCACAAATGTACAAACTACCAGCCTTTTCCTGTTCTACACAATCTTTCACGAACTCAAAAACCCATCTCTGTTCATCATCACGGCAAACAATACTCGATGGTGCTCTAGATACATGCAGTGCCTCTTTCACTGCTTTGAGCTGAGCATTGTCTGTAGAATAAGATATTGATTGCACTTAATTAAGACTAAGCTTGAAACGTAGATTGCTATATACTCTGATTCGACCATGCTTACCTCTTGGATTCCAATTTAATTTAGCATCGAAACAATCAGATAGGCTCTTAACTGCCGATTTCGCTGGGCTTTCCAATTCATCATTGGAATCCTCCTTAATTTCCTGCAAACAAATAATCAATGAGCAATGCTCTCTCTTCCGTGAAGCAAAATTGTGGTATACCCGAATTACCGAATTCAGACTAACTAATCAAACGTAACAAAAAACGAATAAACGCGATCGAACAGTCGGATCATCTCCAAGTGGATTTGCTCGGGGAGCCAAATTTAGCCATAGCAAGTCGACAGGAATGAAAACAAACGGCGTATAATTAACCTTATCAGGTGTCCTCGGGCTACAAGCAGCGGATCGACGAGGAGATTTCCATTTCATCGGCGTAGAGATCGGGCTTCCTCGCATAGAAGCCGCCTCCATCGCAGAATCCGATCTCAGCTTCCGCTTCCGACGAGTGTCATTTCCGGCGGATCCGATTTTCTCCGATCTAACGACCAAGATCTGCTTGTAAGGAGACGAATTCGGACCAGCGATGGTGGGCATTGTATATGATTAACAGAGATGGAATCGGGTGAGATACTACGAGGGAATTCGAGATCTGATCGAACAGGTAAATGAATCATAGGTTTGTTGCTGCTGGCTTTTAAGGGATTTGGGAAGAACGGAAAAGGAAAAAAAAATAAAAAGGGAGGGAAAACAGAAGTCGCGGGAAAACGTAAAACGATAGATTTTTAGGCTTCCCGCCTTGGTCCGGCTGCCGTTTTGAACTGCCGGGTTCGCGGCATTTCATGAGGCCCACAAATCCCAACTGGGCCCTCGTTTGTTTCCTTACTCGGCCCATAACGGCCCATTTATGACTTTTCTCACCCATAAGAACTTACGCGCGTGTGTGTGCGCGCGTGTGCGCATGATAATGGAAAAATTCTCAAATCCTTATATGATGATATATATTTATTGGTCGGGAAACAACCTTTGATATTATCTTTTTATCAGTGTAAATCACTCATTCTCCACTCAAAATAACTCCAATGAGAAGTGGTGAAGATGATAAATAATGGATTATTTATCTGAACCAGAATACTTTAATCAATGAAATTTTTTTTATCGGATGAATCTAAATGTTTTTTTTATAATTTTAAAGTTTATTAGGTTTTTGATCCAAATGAAAACACGAACGTGGATTGAAAAGAAGTTTTGCTTCATTTTTTACCGGTTGAGTCATTCAACATTGGATAAATTTAAACACTTTGCAACCTTGTGATCATGTATACATGTACACACAAACTCTAGCATGATCCAAACTGAGCTATTTCAGTGCCCGTTGATCGATTCATTTCAGACCATGCAAAGCAGAAGATAAACCGATCTAAGGTGACGTGAAATATATTTTATATTTATTATTCGGATTATATGGTTTAACATATCATCGTCGGCTCTCAAAGGACAAGGCACCGAATGGTCCTTTCCAGGGGCTAGGACTGTGGCCATCCAAGCGATTCAAGTCCGGATTTCGTCGATAGCTCCTCCATCCTCTGAGGCTGAATGTGACATGTATGAGTGGAAAATTTCGAATGACTGCTTTGGTAACCAGTTCTCCTCCTCTTCCACCTGGAAACTGATTCGAGTTAGATGTCCTACGGTTCGTTGGCATCGATTGGTATGGTGCAAACTAAGCACACCAAGATTGAGCTTCAACATCTGGCAAACCTTCCTTGGCCGACTTCCCACCTTAGATCGACTGGAAAGGTGGGGAGTCAATACTTCATCGGCTTTTGTATTTTGCCAGGTATCTCCTGAATCGCACTTTCATTTGTTCTTTGAGTGTGCTTTCAGTCTGGACATTTGGCGGTTCTTTGCGACGGTGTTCTACAACTCCCCACCATCATCATTGGAGGATTGTAGGGACTTGTTAGAGGGCCAACTCGATGGTGGACCATACCCCAAGAAGGAAATCTGTAAGTTGGTTTTGCAAGCAGTCACGTATATCATATGGCATGAGCGGAATTCACGTATTTTTCGGAAGGAGTCATCTACGATGACCAAGCTTAGGGTGGCAACGGACAGGCTTATCAGGGATGTTCTACTATCCAATGTGGCAAGGGTTTCGGCAAGTCCCACTCTCGAAGATGTGTGGCTAACACTTACGGTCCCCCTCCGATCACTACTCAGGCGCTAATCGACCAAAAACTATGTTTTAAATTAGCTAAAACTACATCTTTTTTGATGGAATCATGTATCTTAATGGTTAGTTCCGACTTATTGTCCGGTTGTATATAAACAGTTTTTGAAAATCAATACATTTACCGTTATAAAAAAAAAATAGACAAGGAGGTTTGCTAAGATTTTTTTTCTCCCATCGACTTTTTTCTGTCGTGACGAAGCTTATTTATTCCGATATATTGTGAAATGTAATTCTAAAATATTTAAAAATAATAATAAAAATATATATATAGAAAACAAATGGAAATGGAACAAGAATGATAGCATTTGGTCAAGTGATAAGAGAGATGAGAGTGGCCTCTGTGTCTCGCTGCCTCTTTGCTCTCTCTCGTTTTTGTTATAGGTGGCTTTAGCACCCTATCAAAAGCCACCACGTACACACACATGTATATATATATCGTTCCAAACGATGTTATACCCAAACATATATATATATATATATATATATATATATATATATATATATATATCGTATAGCTTTGGTTGATTCGTGTCAACAATGTGGAAGATATTCATATGGTGATGGTTCGAGAAAACAATCCCCCTCTCTTTGCATCTAACATATAATTAAACATCGATGATCACAAAAACATTAAAACATTTATTTACTAAATTTGGATAGTTCAACCGATTAAATGAGTATACAAAACGTCTATCCCACCACAAATTCAAACCTCAAATTAGAAAGGAAATATTCACATTGCTTCCTCCCGATCCCGAGATTAGTCTAGGTCTCGACCCACGTTACCCAAAAACATTAAAATATGTATTTGAAGTTTTCGAATGAAATAAGTCACGTTTATATGATTATTTTTTTTTTTAAACACAGACATGTATGGCCGGAAAATTAATTTTTTCTTCATATCACGATATAATATTAGCTCTGAGTTTCTAAGAAAGAAAAAAAAAAGGTAAAAGAAAGATAACTCAATACGATATGAAGCAACTTGAAGCCAATGTTCTAATGTATCGCACCAAAACAACTAACAAGCATTTTGCATGTAAGTTTCCTCCATCATGCCCACATTATATATACACACACACACTATATATATGATTATGAACTGCCGTCATATCAATCTGTATATATATATATGTATGTATATGTGTCGTCCCACGTCATAAACAAAACCAAAACACATTAACATCACATGGTGTATTCTATCTTCTTCCCTTTGTTTTATTTAATTTCCTCCATACAATTTTGGCCCTTTAGCATTTGAATTACCCATTTGTCTTAAAACGTCACTTGTCGAACGCCTATCGATAATACACACACACACACACACACACACACACCAGTTGTTTGTATATATGTATGTATGGGTTATCAATTTACAACAGTTTTTATACCAAAAAAAAAAATTACAACAGTTTGATTGGTCCGGACTTTTTTTTTTTGGTTCACATTTCACGCCGTTAATTTTGATGGGTCAAACAGTAATTTGACTCCGCAGGGGCCTACGAATTGAGACTTTCAGCCCAGCGACTCAACGCGGACGGTCCATTATTAAGATAAGCGACATATCCGTTTTTTTAATAAATATTTATTCAGAAATTATTTTTAGTTTTATCTATCAAATAATATTTCGTATCATATTTTAATAATTAACTTGAATGTGGCAATATATAAGGGTTCGGTAACTATTCGACCACATGGGGGAAAAAGGATTTGATACAATAGAAATGAAATAAGATGACCCGTTAATGTCTATTACCTAATGGTCGAATCTAACAAAATATTAAAAAAAAGAATGAAATGGGTTCCACCTTACATTTAATAGTTAAGGGGATAATAACCAAATTCAGGCATGATATGATATAATATTATCGCAAGACCATCGGTCACAAGATAATGACTTAACTATTGAAATAAACAATTTCAATATATGCATATACATACATATATATAGAAAACGACGAAGGGTCCAAAAGAAAGAAATATCAGCCGTTAATGAGATATCATCAGGAGGAAGAGTGAAAAGAGCCGTCAATTTAAACGTCGCTGTCTTAACGACGTCAACTTACGGCAAGTTGGTGCATGGGGTGCGGTACCACTCTCCGTTTCTCCACCGTCGGTTCCTCACCCCTTCCACTTCGTGGTACGTTCCAACAAAGATATTTTATTTTATTCCCCAATATTATTTTCCTCCTCGATAATATCTATCGGCTTTCAGTGTATAATTATGACATATAATCGAGTGTTTGATTTGCATAGCTGTGATAATTCCATTCATTAGCACAGCACTAGTCGATGCCATATAATACAAATTCGTTTTGTGTATCACGCATTTATGTGTATATTAAATGATATATTCATAGTACATATGCATATATATATATATATATACATACACACACACGTCTATGTTCCAACGGTTTCACGGGTTTCAATTGAAGCAGAAAAATTCAAGTACAAAACCGATTGGAACGTGAACGTGGACACGTGGACCCACGATTCGCTACTTGTTGCCAGGCTGTTATTTTTAATTGCATCAGCGTACGGAGTTAGTACACGTGGCATAAGGAAAACCGTCGATTTGCTTACGTCAGAAGCTCGGTCCGGAAAAGGACAAAAATAGAGCCCAAGATACTGGGAGACCATCGTTGGTAGCGACACGTGGTGAATTAATGACCATTGGATGTAAAAAATCTTAATGTCTTCCCGCTCTCTGCTGACCGGTTACCGATATCACCCGTTGCTATACTATGGACTGCTCTCACCAAGCGTCACTGGTTTTAACTTTTAACCCCCTGAGATTTTTATTGATCTTTGTAATTTATTTATTTTTTGTTTTTTTAATAAATCGTGGAATAGTCGGAAAAAAAAGCTCTCCGTTGCGTTTGTAAATACTATATAAGGTCATCTCTCTCTCTCCCTCTCTCTCCGCGTCAATTGATTAATAAAGTGAAGTCTGTGCCTCGTGCTCCGCTTCAGGATTTTCCCGAGAAAAGTTCTTGCTGAAGCGAGAAAATCCGAGAAATTTTTCTGGCGAAACTTGCGCGCATTTAGAGTGAGTTTCCTTGTCTCTCTCTTGCTTCTAACTCTCGCGGAACAGGGATCTCTTGAAACTGTCTAATTCCCGATCTCGGAGATTTCATCGATCCTCTAGCCGGTTTATCTCTCTCCGATCCGTTTTTCCTGGAAACTGTAATGATTCGTTCGCGTGAAGATGCATGGGATTTAAAGACTGTTTTACCTTTTCCGTGTTCGTAGAGAAGTTACCAAAACCCATCAAATGATTTTGAAAAGCATTCGATACTTTGATCATTTTGTTCTTTCTGACATATTCGATCCCTCTTTTTTATTTCCCAGGAAAGCGTGAATCAAACAGGAAAAGGTCGAATTTTTTACGACGGAAGAAGCCAGTGTGTGTTTGGAGGCCTAGAAAATCTCCTCCTCCACACAAACTTTCCCTCAGTTTCCGATTAACGTAAACCAGCAAAGTTAGTCCAGTGATTCACCGAAAGTTGGAAACTTTTCCTACGATATCCGAGAAAATTTTCCATTTCGGAATGGGAGTGAAAATCGCCTCCACAACCACTTTCCTTCAATGGGCTTTGCAGCCCATCGTCCCTCATGCTTCCTCCACCGCCGCCATATCATCTCCTCCTTCGAAACGACGCCGTAGCGCCGCACACGACGCTCTCTCCCTGTCTTGTCGCTTCGTTCCTCGGAGGCTGAACCGTTCGTCTTTCTTCGGGACTCATTCGACGAAGCTCCAACGATCCAAGTCCTGTGAATTGTGGGAATCATCGAAGATGACGAGGGCTCGGTCGATTCCTAGAGCTTGTAGCGCGAGCATGGATTCGTTCTCCGACGAGGAGTTTTCGAGGAAGATTCAAGAACTCGCTCTCATATTCCAAGTCCCCGACGGCGAGGAAGACGAAGAGATTCATAAACCGAGCAACAACGATTCAGAACCGGAGATAATCCACGATTCCGTCGACGGTAGATCAATGGGTATCTCAGAGAGTCACAGTTTCAGTGCGGATTCAGTGGAACCGCCATGGGAGGAGATGGTTCACTTCTCGAGCGTCGAGATGAAAGCAAACAGCGTCGAACTTCCTCTCTCGCTGAGGATCATAAAACGGAAGATTCAGTGGGAAGAAGGAGTGAGACAAGCCGGAGAATCAGCGTACTGTTCGGTGAAGAAGGCGTTCTCTTCCATGGTGTTCATCGTACGCGAACTCCATAGCTTCACTCTCCACATGAGAGAGCTCCTCTTCTACGAAGACTTGCAAGGGATTCTCCAACGTGTTCGCAAGGAAATGCATGAGTCGTTTGTGTGGTTATTCCAACAAGTATTTTCCCAAACGCCGACTTTGATGGTCTACGTGATGATACTACTCGCCAACTTCACCGTTTACTCCATAGGCAGCAACGCCGCCATCGCCGCCGCCGCGTCCCATCCTCCTCCGACAGCAACCGTGTCCGAACTGAAAACAGTTGCCGTGCCGGTGAACAAGAACAACGCGAGATTCGATTCCTCGTCGGTGAAGACATTCTATGTATCGTCCTCGTCATCCGGCAAAACAACTTCGGTCGACGGCAACAATGGCGGCGGCGACGGGAATGTCCGTCCCATCTGGAGCGGGACAGACGGCGACGGATGGTACGAAGGGTCGGACCGTTTCAGAACGATGATACCCGACGGACCATCAGAATTTTCGGACGCGGAGCCGTCGGTGTCAGGACAAGCGAGCAGGGAAGAGGAACTCAGTGTGTGGAATACGATCGTGAAGGAATCGGAACGAATGCAGGCTTCGACCAGGGACGAGTCGTTGGACCACGACACGATGAAGCGGTTCGTGTCTCCGGTCGAGGCGCGAATCGAAGAAGAAGACTACGCGGATTACTTCAAGACAGAGCTTCTTTACCAAACGGGTCTGTCTCAGGAGCCTAATAACACTCTCCTCCTCGCCAACTACGCGCAGTTCCTCTACCTCGTCGCTCATGACTACGACAGGTATATTACATGCACACTTATCTCATATTATTATAATCACAATACTTTGTGTCCTGTAGTTCGTCATGTTTTTACGGTTCTTTGATTATGAAACCGGCCTAGTGAGTAAGGGTTTGAGTTATGTCTGAAACTTTCTTTAGATCTTCAGATCATCATCTGGGTCTTTGGTGGAAGTTGATGGTAAGAGTCAAAAGAGGCGTGGTCAAGTGGGCGAATATTCGTGAACATGCCTACTTTCCTGACTCTGCATAATTTTTGACATTGGAACCAAATCTTTATTGCTAGATTTAAATCGAGTGAACCATATTTGTCGTGGCAGAGATATTTTGCCTTTTCCTTACAACACCCTTTTTCCATCCAATTACCAAGCTCCCACATGACACATTTTACTCTGCCATATGCAAATCAAGTTCAAGATCTAACATGTGTCTTTTTATCCCACGTGCTTTTTAAAAAAACAGGGCAGAGGAGTATTTCAAGAGAGCGGCGAAGGCGGAGCCAGCGGACGCGGAGGCGCTGAGCAAATACGCGACGTTCCTGTGGAAGGCTCGGAGCGACATGTGGGCGGCCGAGGAAACGTTCTTGGAAGCCATCTCCGCCGATCCCGCCAACTCGCACTACTCGGCTAACTACGCCCATTTCCTCTGGAACACCGGCGGCGATGACACGTGTTTCCCTCTCGAGACCTAAAGCCCTAGTATATATATCGATCGTCATATGTGAATGTACGCACACACGTCTGTATGTATATGTATATATATGTTACTTATATATATATATGCTGTGTGTTGGTGGGTGAGTCTGGTGACGAATTGTCCTTTTCTTTTCTTTATTTCCTTTCATTTAATTAGTGTATATGCCTTTTTTTTATCTTATTGGTCTGCACAGGTGGTAGTGGTTACACAGTTACGTGTTTTTTTTTATTGTCATGGAAATCACATGGCGATTTTTTTTATAAACATGATTAGATTACTGTTGATGATGGTAAGTTACACTGTTTAACTTTTGTTTTTTGGGTGTCTTATCAATTATCATGATGTCAGCGGAAGAACAGAACATGACGCAAACACATATGACAACACATTCGGAAATAGGGTTGGTTCCGGGATTGGACCGACCAACGAAACTCCCTATCGGTTTGCGTAATTTTGTGGTCTTTTGACATGAAAAAATTACCGTCAAATATGACTTCAACGCATTTTCATTCATTGGACTCCAAAATTTCATTGAAGAGTCGGGCAATTAATTTCCTTCTTTTTTTTGTTGCCCCAACCATAAAAACAAACATAAACATGATTCATAAACCGGATCCGGACATAGAGAAACACAACCCAGATCCTGTAGTTGCCATTTGGATTCGGCTTTAGAATATTGGGCAAAGGGTCTCTAAAGTACAAGACTATTATATTCTCTGAAGCCGAACCGGTTGATAATGAACGCGAGAGCAGATTCAAGATCCGTATCAAATTAAATCCAAAGGTTCAGAGTTATAAAATTCCAAAGTATGGAAAGATTTAATTTCAAGTGAAGACCATCATACATTCAGGGCGTATAGTAAGGCGAAACACGTGGGTATGTGCATTTTTCAGGGGATCTCCAAATATAAACTTCGGTTACCGTAAGAAAATAAATAAAAAAGAAAGAAAAAAAACCCAATAATAGAAAACAAATTTCTTTTATATAATCTCAAAATTTATTATGTTTTTTATCTGACTACATATTTCGGATGATCGAGGAAGTCTATGTAAATTAACCTCTCCAAATGAAGAGTTGAACCCGGGTCGGAAAGAGCTTGAATGGAAGATGATTTGTCAGAACTCTAAAAACAATAGGACAACTAATATGTTTTATATCATCTTTCGTAACATAAATGTAATCCAATGATGATTTAATTGGGAAAAACGATTATAGAGAAATCAAATAGAGCCAGATTCTTGTATAATTTTATATAATAATAACAATAACGTGATGACGTTGTCATCCCCTCTCGGGTCCATACAGTGCATGGTCGGTCCATCGCATTTGGGCTTCCAGCCCAAAAGAGAAATAAAAATAAAAGTAAATCTTGGCCCAGAAATACATATAAATACTGGTGATGAAACCAGAGAAATCGGGTCGGGTTAAAAGGATTTGGGTTTTCGGCTCCGAGATACAATGCGCCTCTATTCCACTCAACGTCAACGGGCAAATAAAGGCTAAAAAGCTTGTACACTCAAAATTTGCGGTCTCGGTGATGAAATTATGACATGGCCCGACAGTGTAACCATATATGTGACGTCATCTAACATTAGATCTTATCGTATCTAATTAATTTGTGTTTGTGAAAAAAAGTGGAAATATCTAATAGTCACAATTAGGGTGGACGTGGGCAGGTATCCGAGAGTTTTGAGGTATCCGATTTCGACTTCGAAACCGCAGATTTTTTGGAAAAATTATCTCAATCTCGATCTTGCGGGAGCCGGATATCCGGCGGTACGAATATTCATGTTTGAACTCGGATATTCCCGAATATCTAGATCCGTAATTTTTTATTATTTAAACATAAATATTAACTTTGAATGCATAAAATTTCCACAAAATAACAAAATTCAAACATTAAAATACATATAAAGTTGTTCAAATTATACAATATAAATAGAAATTCAACATAAACATTAAAATGCATCCAAAATTGTACAAAATATATAATAAAACTAGTTAGATATTTTATAAATATTTATAACTATAGGGATATTTCTGTCTTTTTCATTGTATTCGATTATCTAGAGTATCCGTCTCTCTAATTTTGAAATCCGAACTCGAACTTGCGAATTTCTCATCTCATTTATCTCGTACTCGATTTCGTTTCTAATGGGATAACTGGGTTCCGGATATCCGTAAATCAGAATCCGTGAGCCCACAAATTTGGGGTAAAAACGTCTAACCCTAGTCACAAGTCAATACTGCCGGTTGTATATATTTAAAGAATATAACATTTGTGCCCAGTGACATGTAAATACGATACATTTCCGTGCCAAAATTTGGAATATATCTCCGTTAAAAAAACATTTACGAAAATAAAAGGGCAAAGTAATTACACAGAGACTTTGGACTCATCTATTACATTTGACACTGCATCATATGAAAGCTAACACACATGGGGCCTTTCCTATCACTTCCACATCCCCCACTAACCTGAGACAAACCTCATCATCACCGTCCATCGCAAATTCAACGGTCCACATTACATCACATCTATTAACCCAAAACCCTCGCCGCTAAAACAGAGCGCGAAAAAAGGGATTATATATATATATATATGTGTATATATATATCAACACACACGAATCACGACCGTTGATCACGCTGACACCGTGTACACTATCACGAAACAAGGAAGCACAGCCCTTGGATTAAACACTATAAGCTCTTCATCGTCGATCCTCATGAGGGTCCCACTCGCACTTCCCGTCCCGGACCCCACCAAAGAGTCGCACCCCCGGTCTTCCTTGTCCACGTCATCATCCTCCTCCGGGACCGAGTCGCACCCGACCCGACCAGCCACGACCCGGCACACCAGCATAGCCCGTTTCACATTCATGAACCCGAACTCCTCCTCCACCTCCTCGGGGACCGCCACGTGTGCTCTCCAGCTCGACGCCATGGTCGCGATCCCGTCCATCTTCGGCGAGAACCCACCTTTGATGACCCCACAGATGCTGCAGTACTGTTGTCCGCAGAGTGCAGAATTACCGTTTCGCCCCAAATCGCACATGAACGTCGAGCAGTAGAATCTCAGGAGCTCGTTCCCGTCGGCGGCGCACCTCTCGTCCCATCGCCGCCGCGTTGCCGCCGCCTCTCTGTACTCCTCGAATCTCGCGAGAATCTTCGGGCTGTTGTGGATCTTCAGGATCCGGTGGATTTCCGGGTTCTTCGCCGCCTTCTCGGGCCAACCCGATTTGAATATGATCTTCACTATGTTCGTGCTCGATTCGCCGTCGATCAGCTCCGAAACCGCGTGCTTGATCGCCAGGTGCTGCTCGAGAAATTGGGATTTCTCGAAAATTTCGCCGCACGCCGTGCAGGGGAAAATATCGTTACGCAGGGGGAAGAAAAGAGGATCAGAGGATACATCGGACTCCGGGCACGATAACCCGTTCAGGGTTTCCGGGTCGGGTACAGTATTTTCCGGCTGGATAAGAGTGACCAGCGAGTTCTGAGACGATCTTGCGGAGGTCAAGGTCGTGATGGGGACGTTGGGGTGCGTTTGGTTCCGGGATTTGCATATCCTCGCGGTGGATAAGAAAACCCGCTTAAGATACGACCAAGAAGACGACAACCCGCCAGAAGGAAAAGACGAAACTGCCTTCAGCTTCTTCTTCTTGTCCTTCCTCACCTTCTCTTTCTCTCTGCCGTCGCAGCGCGAGAGAAAGAAGCAGCCGACAAAGAGAAACAGAAGAGAGAAGAAGTAACGTAAAGTTGTTCCGAGTTTTCGCGCCGCCATTGATATGAAACCGACCAGTGTGAGCTATAACTTTTGAAGCTTTAGGCTTTGTCTCTGATAATGCAAAGACAGAGCTAGGGTTTTTACACCATTAGAGAGGTGTGTGAAGGTGATGATGATGATGATGGGGACGTAGAGGAAAAGGAGAGGAGTGTAAAGGCGAAGGAGACAGGAGGGAAAGGAGATGCCAATGGAAGAATAAAGGTGAAAGAGTAGATGCGACGCAATTTCATGTGTATTTTTTCATCAGTATATTTGTCTCCGGTTAATACATTTATTTTATTACATAGTACCTGTTTACGATACATTGATTTCCGTGTGCATGTTACGTGGATCTTTTGTCCTCTCTATCGTATTATTATGCATAAATCGCACCATCTGTTATGATAACTTCGAAGTAAACTTGGGCGCAAAACTTATATATTTTTTCCACATATTTCAATAAAAATAATTTAATCGGCTTTTGTTAATCTTTTACCTAAGTTAACCCTATAGAGATCATTACAAATCCGTCAATAAGAAAGTTACTGTAATTCAGAAAATACATGCATGGTATAACGTCGCTACATAATGGTGTCGGCATACGTGATATATATAGTTGGATATATATATATATACATATATACGTTTCGGATGCAGAAAACCATACATGATAATAATATCGTATACGTTGTACTTCACTCGAAAGCGAGCCGAGGAATCCGAGGCCACAACACAAACATGGTTGCTTAGGATGTGGACGCAGACTGACTAACAACACGTGCATATGTCCGGCTTCTAATCTGCTGCTGACGAGTCAGATGTATGCATATGCTTCCGTCAATTTTCATGAATAAATAATCAAATATATATATATATATATATATATATATATATATATGTATGTATGCAACTGTTATTAAATCGAAGTGGTATTTATATTTCGTCCCGAAACATGATGACAAGCATGTAGGTTGATGTATCGCTTTCATCAAGGAGCAGTTAAAACTAATCCGAATGATGATTTGATGTTTTGTCTTTTCATTAATGTTAATCTTTTACCAACTCGAGTTATGCAGTTTTTTTACCGTATATTCCACATGGATTTATATGGGGTGACCGTGTGAATGACCTTAATAAACTGGTGTGATATTATAAGTGCACGTTCTAATGGACTACACATGTTTTTTTTAATAATATTGATTAAATGAAAATTCGATCCAACTATATCCCCTAAAACAATTTTATTATATTTTTATTACAATTAAATTGTATCATTTCTATATAACAACCGCTCGAACACCAAATTTTGGGATAAAGACAACACCAATTACAACCGTCACCCTATTTCGATTGGATGAATGAACCACACATGTTGTTGAACACAAGAGATTAAAGAGAAGTTACTCACAAAAATATCAGTATAATTTTTTATTTATACGTGGATACCAAACATTTTGGGATAATCAAGTGCTACATGAAGCGTTTAGAGTGATTATATATATATATAAACTCGACGTTCATGAAATTCACGAAGCTAAACGCTGCGCAGCGATTGACATGCATCGATATATATATATATATATATATATATTATAGTCACGCCGATCGAGGGATAACTCGACGTTCATGAAATTCACGAAGCTAAACGCTGCGCAGCGATTGACATGCATCGAAATATCAACCCGAAAATCAACTAATAAAACTCGACGTTACTGTTGTTGGTTTTGACGGATTCTACGCATACAAATACAAATTTTCCACTGCCATACAATTTTAAAAAATAAAAACATATTATGTATAGTATATAAATATGAAATATTAATTTTCTTTTATCTGAAATATAAATGAAATCATTTTAATTCAGTTCTATTGAATGTATTCGATTTTAATATATTATTATGAAAATTGATTATATTCAAACAAAATAATTTTGGTTAATTTCTCATCTATCCAAATAAACATGAATGAGGTAGTTCTGTAATGATGAATGATGGAAGTGATTGGGCCACGTGAGGACCCCGAGGAACGAAGCACGCTTTACCCACAATGGTTTTATTTGAGACAATATAATAATAATAATTATAGGATTTTAAAACGAATATACCGATAAACACATATAATTTTTTTAAACAGATTTTATCATATGAGCATTCGTAATTATCTAATATAGTTCTCTTAATTATAAAATTTTACAGAGACATTAACGGAACCTGACAAAAATCTAAAATACACTCTGATTTTTTAAAATTATTTAATCATTGCTATAGTATAATATAATTGTCCATTGGAGAATAATATTCTTTTTGTTTATTTATTTATACGATTAAATAAATTTAACGGAATGGACGAAAGAAAATTACCGTAGAAGAAGAAATCCGAATTTCCCCGGAACATTGGACACGCGGCGGATTTTCATTGGTTGTTTTTTAAAGTAGAGAATAGGCCCCGGACGCAGACACCGACGGACCCACCATCTTAAAATAATGTAATGTATGTTGCATTATTTCAGCCCCTCGTTATTGGACCGACTCAATCGTCCCGAAATAACATTTTTTTTTCCATAAGGAAACTTTGGAATCTCAATGCCAAAGTAGGAAGCCATGGCATGTCATCCTATACACGGTCGGAAGAGGCAACGAACAAAATTAAAAATCAAACCGAACTAAAAGACAAAAATGCAAGATATTGTATGATTTGTTGGAATGCATATATGAATGTTGTGATGCAATCCATTAGAGTTTAGCAGATTCGAATATTTAGAAATCGGTTCTATACTTTACATAATTAACTGACTCGTGTTTTTCAAGTGTTTAGGATGTCGAAACAAATTATGATATCTATAATAACAAATTTAGTTTTCATACTTGTTGTTTACGGATCTAAATTATATGAAAATCATTGTACTGATTTTATGTCGATTTATGTTCTAATGATACGATAAAAAAATTATTTTTTAGCTCTTATATATAATGAATATTTATAACCCGTAATTTGTATGGGCAAATAATTAAGTTATTCTTCCACGTGAAAAGAAAACAAATTGATTTAATCTAAAAATTATGTTTTACACAAATTGCTATAATTTAATAGGATTAGGATAAAAAAGAGAGAGAGCTAAGTATTCAGAATATTAAAACAGGCACAAGTGTGTGTGTGTATTCTAAAAAATTGATATTTAAAAACACAAAGTGTTTGTTGGACAATAATTTTCTACAAGAATAAAGTGCAACTAATATTGTGGCAACACCATAAATTACTAAAAATTTATGACTTTTGACCAATTGATGATAGTTTGACAAAAAAAAAAAAGATGTTAGGAGCAAAGGGTTGAGTTTGCTTTGCTTTTGTAAGTAGGCCATTCAATTTATTTCGCAGATCCCACCACTCTCTATCATCTAATAACTGCTCCTATTAGTGAGAATACCAATTGTTATTAAAAACATACTAATCAAAACCAAAATAAAAATACAGAAAAATATTTTTTAAATATACTTAAAATACAGTATAAATACCAACAAGAAATGACTATATTTATGCATGGTCACAAACTTAAAACCCATATTAACATGATTGTGATTATGTGTGTAATATAATCAATATCGGGGCAGATGGTTGTATCATAACAGTCTAATGTTCGAATTTCATAAATTATAAAAACATACAAGAATATAAAAATAGATCTAGTTGTGAATTCGCGCGCGCACAAACACACCTAAATTTTAAATTATTATATATTTATCCGAATTTTATTCCGTAATAATAATACCTTGTCGACCTGAATTTAAATAATTAAATTATCAAGATATATAGTTTGGGCACGCAATTGTTCGTATGGTCCGAGTAGATATCATTTTTAAAAATAATATACAAATTTCATTATCTGTCGTTATTTGTTGTCACTCATAATTTGTTTCTTGTTACCTGCAAACAAAAGCGAAGACAGCCGACAAATCGGGTGGCTATATTGCTTCGTTTTTCCAATTCGACGGTTAGTTTGTCACGATAGTTACTTACTGTCATCGTCCAATTATTTAAATGCCAATATTATCTAAAACGGTTTATTAAAATATTCATCCGAATTTTTATTACTACGATTGAGTGGGGAGTTGGATCCACCTCTAGATCCTGCTTGGATTTCACATTTTCTTTTCATTATATTATTATTATAGTTTAGTATTTTTATACTTATAATCATACAGATATATATTTCATATATACATATGTAAGAAAATAAAAAATAAATTTTGGATAACGAAAACTCAGAATATTCTTAATGGGCTTTTGTAAAGCCCATATTTCGTCTTAAATAACTCCATAGAAATTTCAAAAATGCATTGTCAGTAAAAAGCTCAAATTTACTCCATGTAACAAAAATGAAATCGGACAAAATATCTAAAATACTCTCCTCTTCTTTCAAAATCTTCTTTCAAAAGGTGATCATGTGACCAAAATAATTATATCATGATAATCACATTGATCATAATATTAAATTTACGATAATTTAATCAAGTGATTAGTATGATATATAAGATGTAACTATGATGATTTTATTTAACGTTATGATCAATATAACCACGACTATAAAATTATTTCGGTCACAAGAAGAGGGTATATCTAGAAGTAGTTTTAGCAAGTATTTTAGATAATGGCCCGGATCAAGGCTACTTTCCGTATTGCCATGGCGCTTCAATCTAATCGGCGACGAGTGCCGACGGACCGCTCGGCGGTGGAACGTAGTTGGACAACCGAGGGGCCACGAGAGGAGGCGGCAATGGCTTGATCGTTCGATGAGAAGGTGATCGAATCGATTTGGATGGGCCACTTGGCGAGCCGTAACTGGACGATCGACCGTACATCAGACGCAACGGAGGAGGGTAGTAAAACCCGGTGTGGTAATGATTGGAGTAAAGATAGGGAGAAGGGGAAGGAGAGAATTCCCTGTAATGGCGCGGCGGCGGCGGCGGAGGAACAACGATCTGAGGGGCAGAGGAGTGATAATAGCAACCTTGAAGGGCAGAATAGTAATCTTGGGGCTGGGACTGAGGATGCGCCGCAGCGGCGGCGGAAGATGGTATGGCGATCGCTCCTCGATCGCGAGCTTCAGGCGAGTCTTCCCCTGAGGCCGACCCAAAGGTCGGACAAGCTCGAGTGAGTGGACCGACTCAAGAAGGATCGCCGGGTCCGAGTCAATCAGGTGGGCCAGCGGAAACCTAAACGAACCGACGAGGGTTTTGAACTTTTTGCCAGATCCGAGGACTTAGAATGGAAAATCTAGATGGTGATGACCCATCGTGGAGAGGACGAGTCAGGGGAAGGGTGATTCGCTCGTTCCACACGGGCGAATCATCGGAGCGAGTTGAGGGGCGGTGGTCGGGGTCGGGGTCGAGGTACAGGACAAGGTAGGGTTTAAGGTCTCCTTCACGCCAGTTGACATTCTTCAGGTGCTTAGCGGAGACACGACGGTAACGACCAGATCCAACGGCTCCGACGAAGTCATTATAGGCTGCGTTTTGGGGGAGTTTATGCTGCGGCGGTCATTGCTAACGTGCGCTCGAGTCTTGATTGTGTTTGTTCTGTGTTTCAGAAATTTGTTTTACCACGTTGTGTTGTCTTTTAGATTCGGAGAAGATGTGAAAAATCTTTCCGAAAACATTTTAGATTCTCTGACACCTTTTTTTTAATTGACTTCTTTTTTGGGCCCTTAAGTCGGCTTATTTGTTTCGCGGGCAGGATAGAGATAACCTTGTGTTCAAACAGGGCCCAATAACTCACTCGCACGTCTGTAGCAAATCTAACTGAGAGGCTCATAAACCACTGTATAAATCTCTCGCTCTCTCTTTGATACTCATATTTCCTGGAGTATTACGTGTATGGGCCGAGGATGAGGAGAATACTGATGAGAATCCACTGTCGATCGTTAGCTCTGTTGATTTGGGGGGATCCCATTTTTTTTTGTGGGTAATGTGAAAGATGCGGGTTCTGTTTTTGTTTCTAGATCAATATAGTTCTGCAGATGAGTGGATTCACTGCTGAAGAAATCAGAACCGTATCACTTGGAAGGGGCCTATGCACTGAGATTACTTGGCTCAAAAGTCTCTGCCATGGCTGGCATGATCGTGATCGGTCCCCTTTTCAAACTTCAGAATCTTGCCTGGGATTAAGGTTTTGTATGGAGGGGGAAGTGGCCCGGAAGCTGAATATCTCTTTTGCCCATGAGAATCAAAAGCAGAAACCACCCATGGAAAGGAGAGCAGCATAAAAAGCAGGATCTGTTCCCTGCAAACCATAGAAGAAAAAAAGGCACGCTCCCTTCGCAGGCATTACCCTGTTCAGGTTCAAAGGGACTATCTCAGCCTTGTTTCAGGCACCCCTGGTGCTTATGTCCGTCAATACCGTTATCCAAATATCAAAAGACACGGACCTAATCATTTAAAAAAAAAGTAACAGTCTTTTTATTGCTGACTCCAGCAGAAAACACAGATCCATGGCTGTCCTAAAGTTGACAAGATAGAGAAACAACTAAACTTACCCACAGTCTGTCATGGCAGACCTTCTTATGGATATCTTATTTTCATACATTTCAACCGGCTCCGGGGCTCGGGGTGAGAGGAGGGGCTCGGGGTGAGAGGAGCGGCAGTGAGACCACGATTCCAGCTTTCCTGATGAGAGAAAACAAGATAAAGAAAGGAAAAAAGACAGAGATTACGGGATTAGCTGCTTTGAAACAGAATCCAACTAGAAAAGATGCCGATTGATTAATGTCTACAAGTTGCAATCTTTGTTATTCCAATCCAATCAGGTCCGGGGATTTATCATCGTTTCAGTTCAAACATATACACATTTTGTACTCAAAATCATGCATCAATCCAAATGTATAATCATTACTTTATACGGATGTAGTTACTTTTCATACCTTTTTGGCACCAATTTATGCAACTACATTTGTGAATAACTGACGCTTATAAAATGTTACGCATTTCTTAAGGAAGCTATCATGAATATTTCTCAAGCACGTGTTAATTTTAGGGTAAGTCCTGCAATACCTTTTCACTTCCGTGAAGACTTGACATAGCTCTCCGGAAGGTAGATTTCTCCACCTACTTCACCGTGCTGTTCTCCGCTAATAGTTTTCTTTGCGGCTTTGAACTCTTCACTCATAGCCTCCATTCCACGTTGCACGGCTTCCTCAGCACTGCCATAACCGTTCTCTTCTGCATACTTTCGGATGTCTTCCGTTATCTTCATAGAGCAAAACTTTGGCCCACACATGGAGCAAAAGTGTGCCACCTTAGCACCTTCGGATGGAAGGGTCTCGTCATGGAAGGACATGGCAGTCATTGGGTCCAACGATAAAGCAAATTGGTCCATCCATCTGAACTCGAATCTCGCCTTGCTTAAGGTATCATCCCATGCCTGGGCATGTGGATGCCCTTTCGCTAAATCAGCTGCATGAGCAGCTATCTTGTATGCTATAACCCCTGCCTTCACATCATCCCTGTTTGGTAACCCAAGGTGTTCCTTTGGTGTTACATAGCAAAGAAGAGCTGTACCCAAGGCTCCTATATTGGCGGCACCAATGGCAGATGTGATGTGGTCATACCCCGGGGCAATGTCTGTCGTCAACGGACCGAGGGTGTAGAACGGTGCCTCATTACACCACTCCAACTGCTTTTGCATGTTCTCTGGGATCTTGTGCATCGGGATATGCCCGGGCCCTTCATTCATCACCTGAAATCATCAGCACAAATTTCAGGAATCTGTATGCAGAATGGTGCATGAGAAGAACACACATTAATGTGCTCAGACAAACAGCAAAATAGAAGTCATAGTTTTCTTTTTTTAATACCTGCACATCCTTCTCCCAAGCCCGACGAGTTAGTTCACCTTGAGTCAGAAGCTCGGCAAACTGAGCAGTGTCGTTAGCATCATATATTGAGCCAGGTCTCAGACCATCCCCTATTGAAAGAGCCACATCGTACTGATTGCAGATGTCAAGGATTTCATCCCAATGCTCGTAGGCAAAGTTCTCCTTGTGGTAAGCTAAGCACCATTTAGCATGGATGGATCCTCCACGTGAAACGATACCCGTCATACGCTTTGCTGTCAAGGGTATGTACCTTAGTAAAACTCCAGCATGGATGGTGAAATAGTCTACACCCTGCTCAGCTTGTTCAATCAGGGTTTCTCTGAATACTTCCCAGCTAAGATTCTCAGCAATGCCGTCCACTTTTTCAAGCGCTTGGTAGATGGGCACTGTACCCACAGGAACAGCTGAATTTCGTAAGATCCATTCACGAGTCTCGTGAATGTGGCGACCAGTTGAGAGATCCATGACAGTGTCAGCTCCCCACATTGTTGCCCACTGAACCTTATAAACTTCCTCTTCAATTGAACTCGCGACAACAGAGTTTCCAATATTTGCATTAACCTTGACCAAGAAATTTCTTCCAACAATCATGGGCTCCAGCTCCAGGTGCTTCTTGTTAGAAGGGATGATTGCCCTTCCACGAGCCACTTCTGATCTCACAAACTCAGGGTCCAGCTTTTCCCTCGTTGCACAATACAACATTTCTTCAGTTATAATTCCTTGCTTAGCATAGTACATCTGGGTGTATCTTGGTGCCCCTAGCTTCTCCCGTCGGTCAACCCACTCCTTCCTCAGTTTAGGAAGTCCTGTTTGACAAATTTATAAGCTGTTAATACCTGAGTGAGGAAAAACAAATGGGTGAAAAGAAGTGCATGATTACCATACCAATGCGTGGGCTAACGTTCTGGGGACCACTGGTGTCATATGTGTCAAAATCAGGCTCACTCCCAGACAAATGGACACGTCGAAAGGGAACTCTGAGTACATGACCAGTTTTCTCATGAACCACTTCCCTGAAATTAAGATTAGTCATTTAACTCTTCTGACATAATCAATAAACAAGCACAAACATGTTGAAGATTGGAACAGCTCACGCACCTGTATTCCTTGGAGCTCTTAGGAAAACATTGCTCAAAGGACGGAATGGGCTGGAAATCAGGAGAAGAAGGATCAATGGTGTGCTTTCTTTGCTTGCTTCTCTCTGAATTAGTAGATGGGGGATCAAAAGTCAATGTGGCTCTTGGACTCGATCTCCAAGCAGCATGACATGTTTCCTTCTTAGTTCCACTAGCAATTCGCCCAACCACATTGAACCCGGGTGACAGGGAAGAGTTAGGAAGTTTCCGCAGAGCAGAATGATTTCCATTGTTGCACACGACTGACATCAAGGTGCTGTGCACAGAAGCCATACCTGGCAATATCAACCCAACAGAGGGTCAGTAAAAAAGACACAAGAAGGATGCAAAAGAACAATCATCTCAGAGTGTACAGTGAATCCCTTGCGTTCAGAGAAATCTAAACCTATTCCATTCTCAACCTGGATGCAAATTCCACCATCATAATGATAATAAGAATCTCCAATCATTCATGTATTCTCTCGTGAAACAGGTGACTCCAACATCATCTCCAATTAAACCTAATTTTTTCCATTATAACTCTAAGAAACATGCACGAAACCGATTTCTCCGATCGTGACATTTTCAATAAGGTGACATTTCCGCACGCATCACAAGCTGTATACATGAATATACAGATCAAAGCCGTGTAGTCACTGAGATCGATGGATTTAATACACAGGAAAACAGAAATCTGCAAAGTAACGAGAGTTTTCTCCATACTCTCGATCTCGACATTTAACCATCAGGAAAACATCAGAAATCGAATTCTATTGCAGAGTCTCAAACAGAGAACACGAAAACAGGATTGCATGCAAATATTCCGAAGAAACGACACAATTTCACAGGATTAAACGTAATCAGATCTCCATGAAGCAAACCAATGACATCTGCAAGTATCACAGTTCCATAGACAAAAACATTGGAAGAAAAAATCGATCGAACCGCACGGATCCCTGGCATCCACACTCGATCAAGGAACGAAAACAGAAAAATCATAATGAAGAAAAAGCAGGAGGACCTGGAAGAGACGCTGTCGATCTTATCCGTGACGAATTGGCTCGCTCGAAAACCCTACTTACCGAGCTGCCACTCCACTGATGAATACAACGAATGGCAGAGGGCCTTTTTTAAATGGAGACGGCGAAAAGAATCAGAAAAGGACTGCTTACCTGA